CTGGTGCATGAACAAATCCAGTTGGGAATGATGTTTTTATAGTTCAGAGGGGTTTTTTGTTGTTGTTCCCCAGGAACAGCCACAAAATGAAGCTTGCAATCCACAACCAGCCCTCTTGGGAGTGAGGTTGTCAAAGGGGCAGCATTGCCCCATTTCCTTTAAAACACAAGCTGATAAAGTTCCATGCACATACCAGCCATTGGGGAAAGTTGCAGTGGCACTGGCAATGATGGTGAATGTTTCATTAAAAATAAAAGGCAACGTATGAAATGGCTCGCTTTGTTTCTTATAGGTGATTTTAAAATAAAAAATCACTATACAGCCCGAGTTTGACTTAGCATTCCTAAGAGTCCAGCTCATGTCCTTTAAGTTAGAACCTTTTAATACTTTAAACAGTAACCTTGGAGGGGATTTATATAAATTAAATAATATTCATAATGCAAAACCAGAAACAGTAAGCATGAGAGTATAGGGTGTTGTTTTTTTAAACTCACTTACTTACTGAAATGAGTTTAAATCGTAGTGTAAATGCACTAATCCCAAAGGATCCACTTCAGACTTCAATAATGCTGAATATGGAAGCTTTAACGGAAATATTTCTGGCTGGGTAAGAAAGAGGCGTGCTGATTTCACTGAAGTTTTCCCCCAAAATTTGAACCATGTCTAATTAGAAGCATATCTTCTACCATTAAGAATGCCTACTGTGCAATCTGGTACTCCTTTACCTGGGCGTGCATCCCACAATGAACTCAGGGAGACTTTCGTCAAATTAGGAATGCAGGTTTGCACTTCAAGAGCAGCCTTTGGTGAAGCATGAGTAAGTGAGCCGTCTAGCAGGTCCCAAGGGCCAGTGGAAGTAGGGAGAGCAGGCACAGGAAGCTCCCTAATACAGACTTAGGCCAATGATCCATTTGGCTTAGTGTTGTCTACACTGACTGGCAGTAACGCTCCGGGGTTTTAGACAGGGAGTCTTTCTTAGCCCTCCCTGGAGATGCTGGGGATCAAACTTGGGACCTTCATGCAAAGCAAATAAATACTCTGCCACTGAGCTCTACCACCATGCCTGGGGGAAAAATAATCTATTGCAAATTCTTTTACAAAGTGACCTGTTCTGCTCTGGAGTAAGGTGCAGGTTGAGATTTAGGAGTCCACTGCAATTTGCACTTCTCCAAATTCAGTATCAAATACAGTGGTATCAAAAGATGCATCTAATGTCACATCCACACAATACCTTTAAAGGACTCTTATACCACTTTGATAGCCATGGCTTCCCCTCCAAGAATCCTGGGAACTGAAAACTGTAGCTCTGTCAGAGGTTTCCTGACAACAGGGCAGACTTTGGTAATGTGGTACCCTGAGTGAGGCCAAAATTTGGCTCCCACAAATGGATCTTCTCACTTATGGATCTTCTCAATTTTGTGCTGCCTCAGCTCAGCGTTCTGTGCTGGGGAACCACCCACACTGCCCTAAATCTGGCACTGCTGACAACTCTCAGCACGCTTAACGAACTACATCTCTCAGGGTTCTTTGGGCAAAACCATGCCTGTTAAAGTAAATTAAGGGTGCTTTAAATGTATGGGGTGGATGAGACCAAAATATGCTGTTGGAGAGAAAATGCATTCCCTTGAATGCCTCCAAACTGTCCCCCTCCCCAAAAAAGGTTTGGGGAGGATCAGGAAATCCCCCAGAAGAGCATGTGGGGGGCAGGGGGCGGAATTATTCCGCTTGTTAATGCTGGAACTGATCACCTTTGCATAATGCTGAATTCCTCCCATATTGTGAAAGAAAATGATATTTAAATACTATTTTGAGAGAAAAGACATATTAAAACTTTTGAAAGTTTTTTTTTAAAAAAAACCTGGAATGAAATGATGGGTAAAACATGTGAAAGTGACACGGACCAGAAGGATGGCTTCATAGGTGCACCCATCCCTAGCTAAGAAAGATGGGAGGGCAGAAGGAGACACCAGAAGACAAGATGTTGCCCTGAAGCCAAGTGAATCCTAAATCATAGAGGTGGTGGTGGGATGTGTGCAAAAATAGCAACTTGGATGGGGAAACTGCACCGCCCGGTTGGATTGGGAAGGGACCATCATTTGGCTTGCCAAAATGATTAGGGCCAAATCTGAGTATCATTTCACGGGGAGGAATTTGTTTCCAAATCCCATCAGGTATATGAGGTCATCAGGTAGAAGCCCCTTACTCAGTCTCCCATCCCTTTGAGGTACAGGAGGCTTATTTTGGAGCACAGGGTGGGTGGGGGGAATGAATCTTAGGATCAGTGGGGAAACAGCACTATTTGCAGTGAGCCTGTTTCTTTCTCCAGGATTTATGTTCTTTGTGAACTCTGTGAAACGGAGTGAGGGAGCAATATCTCTGTTCTCTGTAAATGAGAGGAAGGAGCATTTTTCAAACCTTAGCTTGGGTCTGTAAGGCATAAACCCTATGCATGTTCTATTAGATTCTCAGCCGACCACCACCCTGAACATTGGTGTGAGACCTTTGGAATCTTTAGCACAAAGATGAATCCTGTGTTCTGCCTTCAGTGCCAATGTCCTGTGCACATTCCTCTGGGGGGAGGGACTTCAGAGACCAGTTCCCATGTGTCCTCTCTCATCCGCTGCAAAAGTGGTCAGGAAAACTGACTGCTGTCCCCACTTTCATGCAGTCCATCTCATTCCACTCCCACTTTCCTCATTCAAAACAGAGTCAAACGTTTGCGAGCTAACAGGACAGAGTTCTTCATGTTGTGTCGTGTTCCCTTTGCTGTAGCAAGTGGATAAGACAAAGTTCCTCACAAATGCGTTATCCATGCTGAAGAGGACTCTAATGAGCTCCATCTCCATCCTGTAGCAGGTGAACATAGTAGGAACCTGGCATTATATAAACTGCCAATCATCTAGGTCAAACAGGCAGATTCTTGGTGCACCTTCCCATCTTGCAAAAACCAAGGTAAAACACCTATTGTTAATAGCTGCAAATGAACAAATGTAGGAATTCCCCCCCCTTCCTTTCAGTCAGTTCTCATTTTACTGGTGCCACTGGCAAAACTCACTTTTTCCAAGAAGCCTTTGGCATAACTCCTGACTCCTTATTCAACTCAGCCAAGGTGCACCTCACTTAACTGGACACATACATGTTCTTCCTCTCTCACTTTCAACTCCATCCTCCTCTCACGCCTCTTCTGCCTCCCATCATGTCGGATTTTAAATTGCAACCTCCTCAGGGCAGAGATTCCTGTCTTTTTGTTTGCTGCTCTGGACAGTTGCATACACTTTAGGATCGGACAACAATATTCATTTCTTTGTAACATTTGTATACTGCTTCATTGTCAAAACCTCTGAACTGAACAGAAAATATACAATATAACATTCCTATTCCCCTTTGCACATGGTGTGGTAAAGGAGCTGTCCTTGTCAGCAGTGAACTCCCTGGTTCTAGAGACTCAACCAAAGCCATGTTTAATGACTTTTCAGCACCAGGCAAATTCCTGTTTTTATTTTCCAGTGCTTTGCAAAGTACACTACTGAGAGGTATTTCACTTTATGAAACGTATTTATATATATATTTATTTATATGAGCTTCTTAGCTTCTGCATCTTGCTGTGGTTTGAAGGTGTATTTTCTCTCCACGTGGTCATTTCTGTGACTGAAATTGTACAATTTGATTTGATTGTATTCTGATATGGTATGGTATGGGTTTTTATTTGATTGCTGCATTACAATAAGTTGTTGTTGTGGGTGGTGGTGGTGGCAATGTGATTTTAATTGGTTGAATAGTTCATTGCCCTGAAAACTAAGGTGGTAAGGAACTTGATAAATATGACTAAAAATAAATAGGTTTGCCTAGGAATGCAACCTTACTTGAGGAGAAAAATTCAAACTGGCATTTCCTGGTTATTATATGACTAGGGAAAGGGCTTGCCAGAATTTTTTGTCTGGATACTTTGAAAGTTCTTCCGTACTAGATGGGAGCTGATTGTCAAAATTATGTCTGATAATAAAAATTTATAGGCATTATCTAAAAAATGCTCAGTAAGTGTTGTTTGCTTTAAAACCGCAATTAAATATCTCTTCTCCTCCTGACATGACATGATCATACCCCCCTGAGGATATTGTGCATTCACTCCTTCCATATTTGGGGAGGGGTGAGAGAAATATGCAATGTTCCTTCCTTAACTATGTGAGGAGGAAGGTTACTGCTCTTGCCTGGTGTGACTCATGTGTAATGCCTTCAGTCTATTAGTTTTTCCTCAACCCTGTTGCTGATTGATCCCCATATACAATACAGAATACATATGCCTGTCATCAGGCCTGGCAGGTTTGCCTGTGGATGTGATATTTGGTTCGTGCTCCTATAAAATTGAGGTGACCAGAAGATTGGGCTGGACGACTTTAAATTCATTCCTACTCTGTAATTGCAATCCGTAATTTAAAAATGGGTTACATGTATCCAAAGTGCCCGCTCCATACACGTTATACACAAGAGCCTTTAAAAGTTAATGCAAGAACTCCCCACCCCCAACCCCTGTAGCAACAAAGGCATTTAGGAACTTGTTATGATAATGACTTGTGTTTGGACAGTTTTTAAGCCGGATGTTTAGCTGAGGAATTTTTATAGTTTTAACTATTTTGGCATGTGATTGTGTTTGAGATGATTTCGCTTGCTATTCTGATTCAACATGACAAAAAGCAACGTCAAAAAGGAAGGACAGAAGAAGCACCGAGATTCCCTGCTACCTCTTTGATTTATTTTATTTTTTGTTTTCTGCAGACTCCCCTCTCCTTTGGTGCTTCAGAGTCATATTCCTTTCACAACCCAATGCCAAGCCTGAATGAAGGGGACTTGAAAGCAGACTCACATGCACTGGAGAACTGGAGAAACATATACAGCCTGGTGTGTGCTCTGCATCCACACACAGGCAGAGATAATCATAGAAATGTAGAATTGGGGGGAGGGGGGCTGAGGATCATCTAGTCCAACCCCCTGCAATTTGCAGCTGTCCCATACAGGGTTCGAACCTGCAATCTTGGCATTATCGGCCCCACACTCTAACCAACTGAGCTATTCAAAGCGATTGCTCAATTGCAATTATAATCATTTAAATGTGAGCAAGTTTTAAATCTAGCTGAGAGGCAGAGTTATTTCTAAAGGTACATTGATGGCAAATAACAAAACTATGAAGGAGGGGGATGCGGAAGAAGAAGTGTGAGAATGTTGGTTGTGTGGTGTCATTTTTCTGGTTAAGCGAAAGGACTGGCGCAATGATTCAAGGTCAGCAGAGAAGAAGCCATTTTCAGGTTATAAATTAGTAGTAGCCACTACCTACTGGGGAGGAGAGGGGATATCCTGAAACAGCGAGCATAGTTTTATCATTGAGGAAGGCAGCTTTCCTCCTGCCCACGTGAGCAGACCTGGAGAGCAAAGGCTGCCAACAGTGCCCCTTGCATTGATCCAAGTTCTGCATTTATCTGATCATTACTCCTTCTCCTGGCATGTGCAGAGCTCTGGAAAAGAAACAATTGGGATCGGTGCAAATTGCTTCTAATTGTAAAGAATATTGCAGAGTTGAAACATTTGGCCTAGAAAATGATATAATTATTGCACAGGGGGGAGACTACATGCAGTGAGGTAGTTTCAACAAATGGAAGGGACATGTACTTATCTGCTCAGATGGGAATGCATTTAATCCAGAGCTCATCCAGTCTTTTTTTCAATGCTACAGCACACTCCTGAAAGTAATATTCCTATATGCATAAAATTGTAAGGCTGCCATCGCATGGCCCCCACTGGAGGATTTGTATGGCTGCATCACAATCCTAGATTTACAGGGGTGGCAAGCTACACAAGCAGGCTTGGCAGCCCATCATCATCATCACCATCAAAATGTAATACCTAAGAAAAGGTCAAAACAAATATTTTCAAATACTCAAAATCCCTCCATTTTTCTCCAGTTTCACCATTCTGATTATTTAGAATCAGAAATTTCAATGCAAAATCCAAGTTCCAGTTTTGGATGAGAAGCTTTAAGCTCGGAATTGGGATGCTTTAGGCTTGTTGGCATCCTGTGATTATTTTGATTTTGGCAAGCTTCAAACACAAGTTTTCAACTGTCAAGTGCTCATTGCTATGGCATGTTATTGATCAAATGTTGTCAGATACTAAAGGCATTGCATGTTTTTCATCAAACACTATAAGATTTTAAAGCGCTATTATATGTCAACTAACAAACACCTTCTAATATTCTGTATTTTTTGCATGTCAACCATCAAATGATGTCAAATGTGATTGTAGCTTTCTTTCTTTCTAAGCTTATGGTGGAGACCTCAGTGGGAAGAACAAATGAAAGGCAGCTTGCTGATCATTAGTGATCATACTCTGCAGTGTAGAAGGGATCTTTTTTTGTTGTTGTACCACATGGGATCTGCAAGATCATGAAATCCCACCTTTCCCGCTTCCTTTTGGTTTTGGTTACCTCCCCACCCCATCCCAATCACAGCTGCACTAAAAACCTGGATACCTGAATTGTTTTCAGCCAGGCAGCAATCACTTTTCCACCAGAGGAGACCAGAATGAAAGGCTTAAAAAATTATCCAAGAAGTTCCTTCTACTGATGAGAGTTGTTTTACCCTACACTTCTTTGTCTAATTGGCTACACCTCCTTTCCTAAATGTCAGCCCTTGCCATGACTACATTCATTGGCTAAAAAATGCTACAGGCTGGTTTCGTATAAAGGAAATGAACAAAATAGACATTTTGCCTCATATATCAGGTCATACAAAGGCTTGCTTTATATTTTTTGTAAATGAAAGCTTGGACTACAGGGAATGTGACTCATCTAGAGGAATACCTGTCCCTTTGCCTTCTTGCATAGAGCATGCCCCAGAATTATCTGCAATAGCTTCCCCCAACCTAATGCCCTCCAGATGTTTTGGGCAGCACCTCCCATCATTTCTGACCTCTGGCAATGTTGAGTGGGGCCAATGGGAGTTGTAACCCAAAGCCTCTGAAGAGCCTCAGATTGGGGAAGGCTGATCCACAGTTGGAAAGAACATGCATACATTCCATGACAGATGCTGTGGAGTGTATTCATGGGATGTAGACCATTAGAAAAACACTGTGATAGACAACTATGTGTCAGTGGTCCATGCAATCAGATATGAAATGTCACTGCAAGTTGATGATCAGATGTTGCCATATAGATATATCAGTTGGCCAATATCCGTTATCGTTGGTTGTTAAATATGAACAACAACAAAATATTTTAGATGATATTCAAAGAGTATTCAAGCATCCAGAGAATACCTGGAGAATATTTGACTCCAACTTTGGAAAGGAGAAAGTTTAAAAGAATCTTAGGAAACTAATTCTTAGGAAATTAATTTCAGCTCAAAAAGTGGGCTTATTAAGCATGTGCAGAGTGCCTTCACCACTAACTAATTACAACCATGTCCTATAAATATGGGCTTATTTTAGGTGGAAGTAGGTTTTATGCTAGGAGAGGGCAGACCCGAGTTATTGGTGACACAATTGGTCAGGTAAGTATTTTTATTTATTTACTTGATTGGGGGGCAGCTGCCTCCCTGCACCCCCCTGGCTATGCCCACGCCTACAAAACTTGGAATAAGGAGCAGGGTACCAAGTCCTCAGGCTTTGGGACTTTCAGGTAGATTTGAAGCCAACTACCTCCCCCTAGTGAAATTGACTGTGCATGTGTTTGATTAAGTTGAATGGAGAATGTACATAAATGCAGGTATTATTCTGTGTTGACCAGGTGATTGTGTGAACTCCTGCTAACTCTTGTCAGTTTAATATTTATTCATATCTAGAGGATTTCTGGCCCACCCATCACCATAAGGATCCCAGATAGTTTGCAGAAAATAATAATGATAATATCAGTAAAGGTTTACATAGGAATATTAAATATTAAGCCTGCGCACAATGCAGATTTTATGGCCATTCACCGTTCAACTCAGATGAACCCTGTACAGCACATGCCCCTATTTGTATACTCAGTGAGACTCTGGTAAAGCAATGCACTCAATTGCCAGATTTCTTGATCTTCACAAATATAGGCACCAATGTCAGTCAAAATGAAGCTGAATTTTGTACTCGCAGCAGTCTTTAACTTGTTGGGTTTCAGACACAATGCTGCATACATGGGTTGCCCTCTTCATTCAATATTCATTTGAAATACAGGCAGACAGAAGTACCTACAAAGAGCTATGGATGTTCAAAATGGCCCCATGGAAATAAATGAAATCAGATCTCTGTCAGTGGTTACCTGTCTGCCTTCCTGGAAATCAGTTTATAAACTGATGTGTGTCTGTGTGTCTATCTATAATCATTTGTTATATTATCTGCATATTGAGGCAAGTGAATTTTGAAAGAGGCTCTTTATCAATACGCTGCAATACAAGGTGTTAGAACCACATTATTTGCATGTTTTTGCAAGCGTGAACAACGTCGGTGCAACACCTGTGCAGATGTACACATGTAGACACGGACAAAAGAAAGAAAGTCGGAGAAAGCCACCCTGAATTTAGTTTTAAAATTTCTCCCAGATAAAAGTCTTATACAAAATTATTTGCGAGAAGGGCTGGGAGAGGATACCAAGCCCGCAGTCTTTGGGCAGGAAAAGAGAAAAGAACAAGTCACGTCTCTGGCTGCAACTTCCTAACGATCAGTTGATTTACCCTGGGAGGATAAAGCGTTTGTTTTTGCGCCACATTATTATAAAAAGGCTGACCAGGCTTGTCAAAGTGCCCCTCTCCATATGCTAGCACCGCTGATGAGAAGTTGCTCTTTGGGGAGAATCCGACACGCATGGAGAGGTTTGGGGCGGAGGGCTAGATCACTTTTAGGGAAGATAAGCAGTTAGGGGGCACGCACGAAGATGTCCCACTAGATGTCAAGTACGAGAAAGCGGGAGGCTCTGGCACTTGGCGATCAAGGCGATCGAGAGAGGAAGGAAAGGGAACGCGAGGAGAGTTTTGACGCACGGAGACTTAAGCCAGCTCCAGAATTTGAGTCGGTTCCAGAACGCTGCTTGCAGCGGAAATGTTGCAGAGTGTGCGTGTATGGGTATGTAATCTCTCTCTCTCTCTCTCTCTGGAGAGAGAGGGGTGGTTCTTGAGAGCGTTTGTGCGAAGAAACTGCCACAAAGATACGTGTTACACGTGTGGCGCTCGTGTGCATGCATCAATGGGTTTCTTTTAACTGACTTCGGCGTCTTCTCTTTCTCGGAACAAACCAAGCAAGAAAAAGAAAATAGTGGGCTTGTGTATATATATTTTAATTTTTAAAAACCCATCGCCGCTAACCCCGTCCATTTGAACCACAGCGTCCTATTCGAGACACGTGTTTCCAAGACTCCGGATAACAAGAATGAAAAACAATCACCGTTCTAATGGAAATCGTTCTAAACTGAAGTGAAACTCTTTTCTTTCAGGAAAGAGTGCTTTCTCCATTCTGCCCCATCACTCCCCATCCCCAAAAAGATTTACCCGACCTTCCTGGATTTGAAAGAGGGATAAAATGAGCCCATTAGGCACTTTTTAAACTGATGCGCCCTTGGTTTATTGGTAAAGGAGAAAATAAATAATAATTTTAATGCCCTTTGTGGGGCGAGAAGTGGCACTTCCTCGTCGGAGAGTGACTTCTACTATGTGGAGGCCACGTGAAAAGAAATAAGGGAGGACGAGAGAGACATAATAGTAATAGTAATAGTAATAATAGTACTAATAGTAATAATAATAGCGCGCTGAGCTATCTGCGCAACGAAGACTCCGAACGACGGGTTCTTATTTTAAAAAACACAAGGCATATTTTGTGTGGGTGCTTTTGTTTCGGTTTTTTTGCAGGCATCTGCCTTATGACCTCGTCCGACTATAAATTAGAAACAAATCCCACGAATCTCTCGATGATGGGGTGAGGGTGGGGGACTGTACAATCGGTCCTGAGAGTGAAATGTAACAATGCGGACGGATCATCTGCTCTTTTTTTTAAAAGAGGAACACCAGCTTGGTGGTGGGTGACAGCTGTGCTCACAAAATCGTCTCCATTATGGAAAGGATGGTGGGGGTTGCATCCAGTCGGAAGAGCCTGTCACTGTGGCCCGCAACAACAACAACAGAAGCAGCAGCAGCAACAGCATTGGGGGTCGTTCCTCTTTTTTAATTTTTAATTTTATTTTTTTGTGGTTGGCTGAGGGGCTGCACAGCACAAAATCAACACCCCCCGCACCTTAGGCGCGTAACTTTGGGACGAGCGGCGGACGAAACGTCGAGGCAGCGGGAAGAAGGACCTTGGTCCCTGTGCCCATTTCACGCGAAACCTCGAGGGCAAACTCGCCTCTTTCGATCGGGTGGGAACTTGGGGAAGGCTGCTATATAGGAAATATTTAACTCGATGTGCTGGAGAGGGAAAAAGAAACCCAAACGCAGCCACCTTTGGTTTAAGCGATGGGATCGCGAAAGGCCAAGAGCGAGGAATCAGTTGCTGGACGGCGCGCCTCGCCCGCCCGAACTTCCACGCGTCTTAAAACAAAAACAACACCACGAGGCTGCTGCCGGAGAGCCAGCGCGCTGCTCTCCGCCTGCATTTGCGCCTTTCCACTCCGATCCTGCCTCTTCCCAACCCGATCCTGTCCCCTTTTCCCCTTCCTTCCTTCTCCTCGCCGCCCGCGGCTCTCGCGCCCTGGCTGGCAACTTTCTCCGGTCTTTTCCCGGCGAGGCGAGGGGGCGGGGCGATGCTAATGAGCGGGGCGTGTCCCCCCGGCCCGCCGCGCGACGCACCTCGGAGTTCCTCGCCGCCCATTGGCGAGCCGCGGCGCGGCCGAGGAAGTTGTGACGCTATGCAAATGGAGAGGGCGGAGCCGGGCCCGGGCCGGGCCCCGCCCCCTGCCCGCTGGGGCTGCTGCGCTCGTGTTTGGCTGCGGGGAGAGTCGGAGCGGATTCCATTGGGAAAGACTGCAAATCACTCCGGTTCGAGCGCGTGGGGGGGAGGGAAGAAGGGGGGAGGGAAGAAGCCAAGAGGATCGCCGTCCACCCGCGGAGGCTGCTGCTGCTCCTGCTCCTGCTGCTTACCTTTGCCGGCGTGTCTTCCTCTCTCGCTCTCTCCAGCAGCCAGCCAGGCAGGCAGGCAGGCAGCTTCCTGCGCTGGGGAAGAAAGGCAGGAGAGAGAGAGAGGAGCCAGAGGAGCCCCGGAGAAAGAAAAAAAAGCAAATATATATATTAATATATACATATTAAAGAAAGAGGGGGAAAAGATCTTTGGCTGGAGGGAAAGAAAAGCCAGGAAGAAAAGGCACCAGAAAGAAGAGCGCGCGGGAGGCAGCAAACTTGCCGCTCTCTTGTCACTGGAAAATGACACTTGAGGTAGCCAAGGGCGCCGCCGCCGCCGCCGCCGCAGCAAAAGCCGCCGCCGCTCCAGTCGATCCTATTGTTTCTTAAACTGCCTTCTTTCTCCGGCGATCCCAAGGAGGGTGACTTCGGCGCGGAACGGGGACGGCGCCTTCGTCCTCCGGCTTCTGGCGCGATCCCGGCCAGCGAACAAACGATCGTCGTCATCTTCATCATCATCATCATTTTTTTAAAAAAAATATTATTGTTGTTATTCTTCTCCTCCAAAGGCCACTCCGCCACGCAGCCTCTACAAGAACCAGCGCGCCACCAGCCAAGCCAAGAGCATCCGCGGCCAACCCCGGGGGAGGGCGATTTCGGTCCCCCTCTGGATTCTCGCTCGTTTTGTTTTTCCTCCCCCGCTGCTGCTGCTTCTCCCTTTCAATGTCTGTGTTTGATTTTCTCTGATTTGCTTTGATTCCAGCAGCGGTTCCAGAGAAAAAGAAAGAAAGCAAAGCAAAGAGCGAGAGAGAGAGAGAGAGAGAGAGAGAGAAAGCAAGCAAGAAAAAAAAAACACTCCCTGGCGATTTATTATCATCAACACTATTCTTTGTTGTTGTGTTTTGTGTTGTTGTCGTTCTCTCTCTCTTAGATCTATATTATTACTATTTTTTAAGAAGAAGGGAGGGTCCTGGTTGCTTTTAATTCATGTTTGGGATCCAGGAAAGCATTCAGCGGAGTGGGAGCAGCATGAAGGAAGAGCCCCTCGGCGCGGGCATGAACGCGGTCAGGACCTGGATGCAGGGCGCCGGCGTCCTGGATGCAAACACGGCCGCGCAGAGGTACGTAGGCGCTGGCGCAGCATCCCTCGCTCCCCTTGCCTTGCCCTCCTCTCCCTTCTTGTCTCAGCAGGCTACCTCTCCAGCAACACCAGCTCTCCGCAGCCGACTTTTTGCCTGCAGGACTTTTGCGCTGGGGGCACTTTTTGTTGTTGCAAGCGCCTTGTCAGTGGCGTCTTTACGCGCGTTGGCTCTTCCTTCCTAGTTGGGCAAACACGTCTTTCTCTGTCTCTCGCTCACACTTTCCATTTCCCCTCCTCCTCCCCAAAATGGTTTTCACAATATGTTTACTCTTCCGATGCCCCCAGTCTCATAACCGTCTCTCCATCTCTCAAAAAAGCTACATTAATAGGTGCAACGCTCTTCCTTCCCCAGCATAACCCTCCAGAAGATATAAGCACTCATGCGAATTGACCCCCGTTTCCTCCCAAAGCCTCGATTTTTGTGAGTGAGTTGCAACAGGCAATGAACTTTTTCTAGATGCACAACGCTAGACGCGTGTGTGTGTGTCCCTTCTGCAAAACCTTTGCAATATTTATTGGTAGTCATCCTCCTCCGCGGATGCTCTTCCCGCCCTCCACAGCCTTGCATTCTGCAAAGCCTCTGTCCCGGACATCTCTAAATCTTTCTCTTTCACACACCCCTCTTGCTGTCCGTGTTTGCGCGGAAGCAAGTCCGAATTATTGCCGTGGGACTCGCCTCCAAGCCAGCCCGGGTTCGGATTGCAGCCTGGGGCGCATTTGCTAAGACGGATCCGGAACCAAGAGCCAATTCTCGGTTTTAACTGTCATGTTCGGCTGTATTTCATGTCCGTCCTTCTCTGCCCAGTACCACCCCCAGGAAAAATGCCCCTCTGAGGAAGGGAAAGTTTGCAGTTCTGCAGGGACAACCCAAAGGTTGAAATGTTTAAAGTTTTCCTAGGCAGTCTGTGGCGGGATGGTTCCCACCGCAAAGAACCGGAGAGGCGATGGAGCCAGAGGCGCTCTTAAAAGCTCGGGCGGAAAGATAAGGCACATGGCGGGTTTCCCTGACAGCTGAGGCCAGAGCGGAGGGGACTGCGAAAGAACAGCGCTGGGAAAGCAAAGCTCAGCTATCTCGGGCAGCTTAAAGCAATCTATAATTCAACCTGAGCTTTACAAAGTGGAAATAGAAGGTTTGTGGGTGGAGGTGGGTGTTTCAGGAGCAGAATAAATGTTTCATAAAAAAATAAAATCATGATCACTTTGGAGAGCATTGTTGCTTCCTTTCTGGCTCCGAGGAGCCAGGCGCTCCAACACGGGAGAGAAAGAAAGAAAGAAAGAAAGGCAGGCAACAAAATAGGTGAATCAATAAGTTTGCCTCCCTTGTAGGACTGAGCCACCTGCTCTGGTTTCTCCTTCGGGCTAGTGAGTTTCACAGAATTTTCTGCTGGAGAATAGGAGGACCAGGCCTGAAATGGACGTGGGTGAGGGCCCTTGAGCTGTGACCCGAAAGCTTGCTGGGCATTTTAGAAAGCCGTGCGGGACCCTGGGCCGGGACTTCGAGTGCTTTTCGGCTCGCTAGCCCCGGCGCCCCTTACTCCGTGGCGTCTAGTGCCCTAACTCCAGCGAGGGTGACCAGAAAGGCGGGCAGGGGTGGCATGTGGGAGAGAGAGCCCCTTGGAGATGGGAGTTAAGAGGGTCTTGGGACCGCCTCGGGGCTCTCTAACCGTGTGTGTCTTTGGCTGCAGCGGGGTGGGCCTGGCCCGAGCTCATTTCGAGAAGCAGCCGCCTTCCAACTTGAGGAAATCGAACTTCTTCCACTTCGTGCTGGCTCTGTACGACCGGCAGGGGCAGCCGGTGGAGATCGAGCGCACCGCCTTCGTGGGCTTCGTGGAGAAGGAGAAAGTAAGTGAACGTGTGAAGTGCGGGGTGGGTGGGTGGTGAAGAGGCTCCGACTGCCTCACCTGCGAACTGTAACCCTCCCCACCCCTTGCACAGCCCATCACAGAGAGAGAGAGAAAGAGAGAGAGGGAGGGAGCGCAATTCCACACCTCCATGCCTTAAAATTAGTTTTGCAACTATTTTGCACGCTATTTGGGAGCGGGGGCATAACATTGCCTTTGCAAAATCCCTACCAGACGATTCGCCTTCCAAACGCTCACAGGGTCCCTTTCTCCCCTCAGAACCTCCACCCCAATTGAGCCAGTTTGACAACTTCATGCCACTACAACGCCCCCACCCCGTCGATTGCCTTCGTGACATCAAGGCGTGTCCCCTCCATCCCTGGGCTTCCCTCGTGGGCTTCTCTTCGGTTGCAGCCCTGCCCCAGGCTTCTCTCTCCCTTCCTTTAGGCACTTTTGGTTACGTGCTTCAAGCTAAATCCCCGCTTGAATGGGAAAAAGAAAAAAGAAAGAAAGCGGGATGTGTGTGTGTGTGTTTGTGTGTAGAAACTAAGAACAAAGTAAAGGAAAGCGCAGAGTGAGTTTGGAGCCTCTCGGTGGTCTGCGATCGTTCTTATATGTGTGCGCCCCTTTTCCATTCAGGAAGCCAACAGCGAAAAGACGAACAACGGGATCCATTACCGGCTGCAGCTCCTCTACAGCAATGGTGAGCCCCTTTCCTGGCTCGGCCCAACCCTGACAGCTCACGGCGGCTTGAAAGCTCTAGGGAGCTCCCTGGCTCAAGTGAACTGTTTACTCCTGGAAGTGAGAAGCCGGGGAGGGGAGAAGGGCTCACCTCGTCGGGATGCTTTAGGGGGGAAATGGATCAGAGGAAAAGAAAAGGGAAAAAGCCACCTCTCCAGTAGTCCCATAAGGCAGGACAGATTCTCTTTCCTTCCCCACGTGGCGACTGCTTTCGCTTTGCATGTTTCCAGCTCACCAGACACAACGTTCCACTTTGGTCAGTCAAACATGGAGGCAGCCAAGGCGGAGCAGGGAGGGGCAGCTGCCTCCCTCCAAATCAATATAAATCAGTAAAAATACATAGCAAACGGAGGTTCTGTCCCCCAAAGCCCTGCTCCCCTAATAAAAGGCCTACCCTCCAAAAAAATCTTGTCTACGACCATGCAGTCAAACTCAAGGAAAAGAGGGAAAACTCTATTTTCGCCTCCACTCTCCCTTATAATATATATGCGCTGGGGTGGGGGTTAAGGCGGGGTGACAAGTCGGACTGGGACCGATGGGGGCAAAGGGACACCGGAAGATCTCTCCTTTACGCGCCATCCAAAAAAAGAAGGGAGGGGTGTCTTCGAAGTGTTTGTGTGCATGCTGGAGTGACAAGGAATTTGAACCCGGGTTCACTTGCTTTTCGGAATGCTAACGTCCTTGTTATTTTCGCGATCCATCCCCCAAATTTTTTTTAGGGTTGTGCTTGGTAATGATGACAATAAATAACAGTAACAATAATGGTGATTATTATGACAATCGGTTCCAAGACCCTTCCCTCTTGCTCCTGGACAGCCGAGTAACCGAAGTTCAAGAAAACACCGATCTGTCCATTTTGTCATTTTCTGCATTATTTATCGGAACGATGCTCTTGATTAATTTATTTCTCTTCCCCACTCCCCATTCCCCCTCTCCTGCTTGTAGGGATCAGAACAGAACAGGATTTTTATGTCCGCTTAATCGACTCCATGACAAAACAAGTAAGTTCCTCCCGTCTTAATTCGTGCCTGTATACTTTCTCCCTCGGAGAGATCAAGCTGTGTCTGGGGTGGTTGGAGGGGGCGCGCAAGCAATGCGTTTGGTTCGGTTCGCCGCGGGTTGCAGGAAGCTGAGACTGGGGGCTGGCTCGGGGGACCAGTTGGTTGCTTGCCTGTGTGCGTCCCCAGAATTGCGGAGCCGGCGATCGACGTGGGGAGCGCGCCGAGTGAGGTGAGGTCAAGGCGCGTAACGTGCGACTGCTTTTGTGTGCACGCTGCGACAGGCCGTGCAGCCTAGTCCCTCTTCCTGGGGGAAGGCGCAGCCGCTCGGGCAACTTGACACAAATCAGCAAATTAGGGGAGGAGAGGGGGTTGGGTTTTTCTCCTCTCCCTACCCCAAGATACCAATTCCATTTCAGCCCCTTTGCTGTCCCGGCCAAGTTTACCCCAAAGTAAACCCCACTTGGCTCGATAGACCTTTGTTCCAACTGTCTGCCCGCGGATCCTGGTTTTGCACGGCCAGGTGAAGTTGATAAACTCCTATCCAAACCAGTCCCACAAAGACCTGGTTTATTGGGCGAGAGCCGGAGGGTATTTTCTAACATCGGCCAGAGTTTTCAAACGGGCCTCATCTTCTGGTTCGAGCCGTGTACGGGACAGCTATATATATTCCTGCATTGCGAGGGGTCGGACTAGATGATCCTGAGGACCCTTTCCAATTCTATGATTCTGCTAAGAGCGGACGGTTGCCATTGGGGCGCATTAGGTGCGAAGGATTTCTCTCTCTTTCCCCCACCCTCACATTTCCTACTCCAAATTCCTAGCCTCTTTAAAGTCCAGGTAGAGGAGAGAGCCAGCAGCCCTAACGGTTAGAGCACAGAAAGGGGGAAAGTCCGCCTAAAGCAGGAGCGATGAGATGACGGAGATCTCGCCTCTGCGAGCGAGGGATGAAGTCCATCCGCTTGGAAAGGAAAGCGCGCCTGCGGCTACAGAGCCCAGAGCAAGCCGCGCACAGCTCAGGCGAAAGCGCGCTTTGGAATCGGCGTTTGGCTGCGATGGGCAAAGCGCCTCCTGCTCCTGGTTTTAGATTGGCCGGGAGCCAGGGCGGGGTGAAGGCGCCGCCGCCTTAAAGGTACAGGATCGCCCTCACAGCCTCCTCGCCAACCTCTCTAATGGGCCAGGGCCAAATAAGGAACTGAGATCGGGTTGCGGCCAGAAGGAGGAGGAGGAGAGGCGGGGAGGGCAATGTTATTTGTCACACACACAGAGATTAATTTTGTCTCCCCCCAAATCCGAAGTTTTAATTAGGCACAGTTGCTGTTTGAAATAAATAAATAACGTGCGGCTTCCTACTCCCTGAAGGCGTTCAGATCACAGGATTCTTCTCTCCCCCGCCCCCAACTCACTTTAATTATGCGAATGAAAAGAAATAGAAAACAAACACAGCCACGCAAAAAACAGCAACCAGCCAGTGTAGCAAATATTTATCCTTCTCTTATTTGCAATGACATTGCTAGTGTTTTTTGGTGGTTTTTTTGGGGGGTGGGTGGGTTGGGGGGACAGCGATTAGAGCTTTGCAGCTGTATAACTAGGCAGTGAAATGTATGCCGGGAGGTTAAGTGACTGTTTTAGAAATGCTACGTTCAAATACAAGCCTAGTTTTAATTTGTAATATGGGGAGCTGTTCCTGTGATGCAGGCTAATTTTGAGTATGACATTTGCTTCAGAACGCTCAAGTTTGTGTGTGTATGTGTACATACCCAAAGCCAAGCAATTGTGTTTGCAGGTAAAAGGCTACACACAGACAGAGAGAAAACCAAAACAGGAGGCAAGAATTTTGCCTCCCCAAATCACAATATTTTTGTGCTATGATTTAATTAAAAACATTTCTTTTTTTTAAAAAAAATTCTAAAATTAAAAGACTTTAAAATCAGATCTGGTTAGCATTCATGTTAATCATTTGAAAGTAATCAGTTGAGGTACATAGACTTATTCTAGTTTTGTTTTTCTATTAAAAAAGTTGGGTTTTTTGTGTAGGAGGGGTTCCTCCACTTTAAAAAGGCCAGACAAAATCTCCAACATTTGCACACATTTATAAACCAGTTTCTGGGTGTTTCAAATTCTGCCTTTAAAAACTTTTATTGCTTGGCTTTGTTTTTGGTGGCTTTTTGACACCAAACCAGAAAGGTCAAAGTGCTGAGTTTGTTTTAGAACACTGTCTTTGATGGTCCCTAAACATCTTTTCCTGCAATTGATGGCTGTCTTACAATAGAAAGAAAAAGAAAGAAAGAAAATGAAGTAATTATGTTAGACAATTCCATCATTCAGATACAGCTAATTGAAAGATACTCTTTTGAAAGAGTCTGTCGCAGGAGCTGAAACAAAAACAGGAACAATTCTCTAACAGCAAGTCTCGAAAAAGTGGTGAACAGAATTGGCTGAAAATGGATCTGTGGGCTCATATTTAAATTGGCAGAAGCCCTCACAGTGCTTTGGGGTGTGTCTTGTGTATTTCATGAGGAATTGTTACAAAAATACCATTAAATATTATAATTGAACAGCTTTTATATTACAGTCATGTAAGAGATGATGTTTCCACCTTTCATAATTATGATCCCCTGGTGGAAAGCGACTATTTGAGTTTCTATAGCTTTAAAGCACTTTCCTTTAACAAGGCACTTTGCTTATGATTGCATTGTTGTCAAATCATCTGTGAGTTTTCTTAAGAAAATAAAAGGTGAATAGTCTGCCATCTTTCGCTTAAATACGATGGTGAGATTTAAGCAGCCTGAATGCAAGATTGCAGCCTTTGTTTGTTTGTAGCATTTATAATATAGACATTACAGACTATAATCACCTTTGGAGGATGTCTCAATTCCCCCACCCCCTTCTGTATCTAAATCTGCAGTGAGGAAAAAAATACAGTATCTTTTTTTGAGTTTGGGGTGGGATCGAAGAGTATCACTGACAAATAACATAGACAGAACCAAGATCTGAGGGAGAATGTTGCTACAGAACTACATTAAAAAGCCTCTTCTGGATGTGAATGTAGAAAATAGCAAGCTGTGTTGTGAAAATACAAGTGTGTTGTGTTATTTGCTTCCTTGTTAGGCCCATGAATGTGTTCAGAAGTGGCACATGTGCCTTTAAATATAATCAGTGGCTGTATCAGTGTTTGTGTGTATGGTGATCTGATTATTATTTCTGGAAAGCAAAGACGCTTGCTAAATTTCTGCTCAAAACAAATTTGCTTGGGAGGTCTCGAAGCCTGTGCGCTAGTTAATCAAGGAAGGAAGGTCAGTGCTACATATGGCTTGCCAATGTGTCCAAATGTGGAGACATCGCTAGCGGTTTAGCGCAGAGTGTGCATGATACATAGGAGATTCCCGAGTAACTTTCAGCTTGTAATTAAATTGTGCAAAGCCTGGTTGGGGAAAAAAAAATCTTTAATCTTTAATGCAAGTTAAACATATATTGTCAACCTACTTAGAGGGGCAGTATTCCAGTACACACGACTCAGAACAAATTGGATAATGGAATGATGACTCCGAAATGAAACTGTGGCAGGAGCATGCATGCCTTAATGGGGTGGCGTCAGCGGGAGACTTGCACACGTGCCTTCGTCAACAAAGATTGTCCTACACGGCAGTCACTGTTTTGAAGACATTTTTTGCAAATATTATTTTTTAAAAAATATATCTGAAAAGGTTAATGAACAAATAGGTTGTCCCTTTTGCCTCTAGGAAGGTGTCAGTGAAGAGACAGTATTGAAGGGAAAGGGTGTTTTAAATCTATAGTGATATTGACATAAGCATGCAGGTAACTGAACTATATAATCATTTAATTCAGAAAAATAAACTTTAATAGATGGTTTATTATCCACAGTGATTGCAATCACTTTCATTCAATTGTATTAGTATTATTATTATTTCTTTGTTTAAATGTCTGGATGCTTGAGACTCTCTGTATGAAAAGTCATGGACAGATGCTGGGCTTGAGATATTGCTTTTTTAAAAAAAATAAAGCAGGTTGTAATAGTGCTTTATGAGTCATGGATATTATCCCAACTTCATCTGTATGGTTTTTAAAAAAACAACCCCTAAAGCCTAAGAATAGACAAGGGTATATTTTGGGTAGAAATCTTGAAATAGTTACTCATGAATAAGCCATTGTTGGCTTAAATGGGACAGTACCTGCATGCAACTGCTTGCCTATATTTAGCAGTCTCCGACGCTGCCTAAGAAATTAGACTTGGGTCCTGGTATAGTGACAAAGCTTAACCCAACTGGTGAGAGCTGATTTAGGCTTATGGGCATTAATTTTGTCTCTGCATGCATATAAGCAAACACCCAATCTTACTTCCTTTGCCCCGAACATGTGAATTTGTCCCTGAAGTTTTAACATTGGTCAGGCCTTCAGGTGTGTACATGTATCATGTTGTGTTTATGTGTCTATATCACATTTGGCATTGGACATATTGGCAATGTAAAGCTGGATGCCGTCGGTGCTTCTCAGCTCTGGAATGATATGCATGTAAATATACATGTATGCAACATGATAAACAATACCCTTCACTGAACAACGTTAAGTTCTCTTCAGTGCTGAGAGCAGATCTTCTCACAGTTCAGTCCTAATGAACTTTGTAGAAATAAGTAGAGCTGTTTCCTGCAGAACTTTCCCCCATGTAAGGCATTCTAGATGCTATATCAAACATTGTTTCAAATAACTCTATAGATGTCTGTTCCCTCCCCTCCCTGCCACTGAGCATGATGCACATGGTACATATGTAGTTTTCCATTTTTGCCACGATCCTGCTGTGCCAATGCACACAGGTATTCAATCAGCTCTCTGCTCAGCATATTGCATGGTTCTGTGGCTGGCACATAGGCGATTAAAATATTATGAATCCATTCAGAAAAGAACTCTGCAGAATCTGAGCTATTGAGCACAATTCGCCTTTGAAAACACAAGAGAGAAAGTTTGCAATCGAGCCAGGTTCCAGCAGCTTTTAGTGTTCCTTTGGTTGCATGTCAGAAAGTGCAGGTGATTTTAATTTCCTCATATGGAGAAGAATGCAGAAGTCTGAAATTTGCATGCATGATCAGGACCTGTGTGTTTGGGAAAATGTAAACTCATCACAGTGGAAAATGTGTTGTTTGGAGTCTGGGGGTGAAAACAAAGCTGAGGATTTTGGAGCGACTGCCTGGGCCAGATGGCCTAGTGCATTCCCAGTCTGGCAGCCCAACTGCTCCCTCCTGTATAATATACAGCCATTTGTTCTGGGATATTTACGCTAGAGTTGTTTCCATGTGAATGTTTGAGAAGCGTTGAAAACGAACATATTAAGGGGGGCAAGAATTTTATTTAATTCATGTGAATTCAAGTTGATTAGTGAGCTAACATGCCAGGGATGAGAGAATGATAACAATGATTAGCGTATTTTGGTTTAGGGCTGTTGAGCAAGAAAAATAATCGCTATATTTTGGGGGCCAGTCTGGGCAATCCCTTATTGCTCTACCTATTAAAACATTATAGCAAATAATGAGGGGCTGCTCTGCAGGCGGAAATCAGAATTAGTGGCTGGTTAAATATTGCAAGTGGAAATTATTTTAATCCAGAATCTAAGCACTCATTCCTAAATATTTCCAAGGCTTTATCAATACAACATGATAGTCTAAACCCTTATGATTGGTATTTTATGATTATCTAAATAGTCTTTGCCCTTCTTCAGACATAGACCTATGGATGCAACCTGATGTATAAAATGCTTCTTTTATGTGGACACCTATTTGTCTGCATAATGTTAGATAGCACTCAGATATCCCAAGTGGTAAGAGATAATTTGCTGGATATAGGGACATAGGGATTGGTTCGTGACCATTTATGCACATTGGGTTATATCCAGTGGTGGTGTTCAGCTAACAGAAGACTGCTGTCAGCAGAAAGGAGACTTTGGCAATTTCAGGCAATTATCCCACCCATCCCTGCAGCCCCCCTCACCTGCCATAAATATGGTGCAGAGGTTTGGAGGAGTGGGTGGGGAGAAATTGCAAAAAAACCCAAAACTTAGTACCCTATTCTGCAGATGAAAACCTTACTGCCTGCTCAGCAACATTGTTGGATACAATCCAGCTAAAGTTAGCTGCTCCTAAGTAACATTGCAGCTAATGGAACAAGTTAGTTATGACTGTAGAGCACGTCCCGCAGGAATATCCAAATCTGTGCATTTAAAAAAACCCCAGTGTGGTTGGACATATATCCCAATGAGTCAGAGGTCCTGTTCTGGAGGGGGTTGCACTCCTAATGAGTGAACCAGTGCATAGTTTGGGTTGCTCCTAGAATATTTGTTGTTGAGGAGCACCTCTTTTCAGCTTTGGCTGGTTCACCAGCTGTTGCCGTTCTATGACAGGGAGAACTTGGCTCCTGTGGCCCATGTGCTGATAACCTCATGTTTGGATTACTCTATGTGAAGCTGCCCTGGAAGTTTTGTTGCATGTGGCTAGGCTCCTGTCAGAGCAGTGGTGGGCTTCACAATTTCAGTGGCTCCCTGTGCAATGCCAAAATTCACCCCCTCCCACCTCTTACTTTCTGTTATTCATCATTGTTGCTGTTCCCTCTCGGTTTGGCACCCAGTGTGGGCGAACCAGTCGTGTTCCCTTAAATCCACCCCTGGTCAGAGGTGGCCTGCAGTGAGCACGAATTGTGGAAGAACTGCAGTGGCTTCTAATATGTGACTGAGCCAGTTTCATGGTACTTGTGTACAGAAAGCCCCAAACAACTTGGAAACTCAATTCCTGGGAGAACACCTGCTCCCCTATAGACCAGCCTGTATATTAAAGTCAGCTAAGGTGGCTCTCAACAGCCTCACCATTTTTTGATATTTGTATGGCAGCGTTGTGGGGGAGAGGCTTCTCGGTGGGGGCACCTTGCCTTTGGAATGCTCTTCCCTTTGAAATAGGATGGATGCTGATCCTGTTCAGCTTTGGGCACCAGCTAAAGACTGGACTTTTTGCTCAGGCCTTCCTCAACATTTAATGTCAGACTTATTTGTCCTGACCTCTTCGGGTTGCCGTGCATTTGCTCCTGTTCTTAAGCTGTTGAGTGTTTTTTGTGTTGCTTTTAACTTGTAACCCACTTTGAAATCACTAGCAATGAAAAGCAGGATAGAAATGTTTTTAATAAGTAGTAGTAGTAGTATGTATGTATGTATGTATGTATGTATGTATGTATTTATACCCCACCCATCTGACTGGGTTTACCCAGCCACTCTGGGCGGCTCCCAACAGAATATTAATAACACGATAAAACATCAAACATTAAAAACTTCCCTAAACAGGGCTGCCTTCAAATGTCTTCTAAAAGCCATTTATTAAAAGTTATTTCTAAATTAATAAACATAATGGTCCTAGTTGGAGGTAAGGAGAAAGGATTTAATTGCCTTTTTAATATACTTTTTCAGCCTCCTATCAAGACATACCCCAGAGTTAAAACTACAAAAGACAAACACACCCACACCGGGGGGGGGGGGGAATTGCATCACATGGTTGTTTATTTCTTTACCCATGTGGGTTATGGTGTACATTTGCAAAATTATTTTTAGTACTACAGTAGTCTAACTTTATACCGGGGTACTTTCACTTCACTTCTTCCTAATTTATTGATCTCCTTTTGTAACTGGGTTTCACCGGAGCAGAGCCCTGCATAACTTTGACAATTATCCCACCAAAGGTCTTGGTTTCATGAACAGAGCATAAAAAATATTTGGAAATATTTAGATCAATACACCATTTTCATTTAATGCATACAATAGAAGGGTTGTGCATGCGTGCCTGTGTGTGTATTTAAAGGAATCATAATTTAGCAACTTCCTGTAGTGGGACCTGAGTTTCTGTCAGCTGCAAAGATCTGAGACTGTTCTTCCTTCCGTCCTGAAACCAACTGTTGTAAATGTTTGCCGCCATGGTTTGTGAGCACAGACAGCAACTGTAAGCTAACCAGTCAGCCCCACACTTCTTATATTGTGCCATTTGCGAGAAGAGGTAACATCCTAAGAGTGGCTTAGAGAGCCAAAATAGAGTGGCACCCTGTGTATCCTGTTATTTGATAATTCATCCACAGAGGGGTGGGGATTCTTTTGGTCTTCCAGGTCCTTCATTGCAGCTTAGAGGTCTGCAAACTTATTCTTCCAAATAAATCTAGTTTGCCATTTTTTAGCCTTGGTAATGGCGCAAGGGAAGGATAACAAGAGGCTCTTCTCCACAGGCCCTTAATGAATTAAATACCTGCAACATTCTAGACACTCGCATGTCAAGTTTAGCCAAGTAACGCCAGCTTATTGAACAAACACTAAGGACCACTTCTTGCAATTTCTCTGCCCAAGACAGTCTCTTTCCTCCCCTTTGACTGGATTTCACTCTGCAGCAGGCAAAGTGTTCATGGGACTTGGCCATTGAGTGCATGGACTGTCCTTTTTTTTTTGCATGCTCTTGCTTTTGCATGGTGTTGGTCATATCCACTGCATTGTTTCTGCATGAACACATGGTGCATCAACCTGCTCAACATAGTTGGGTGAAATGGATCTAATTTCCCTGGTGCTTGTGCACAGATCCTAAGCACCTTGGATGGACCAGGCTCACATATAATGTAGGGGCAATCTTGGCAGGAATGTTGTGTTTGTAAGTGTCCCTTATGTCAAGTCGGACCAGCTTTCTAAGCATTGTCTAAACTGACCGGTAGTAGTAGCTCTCCAGGAGATGTCAGGGACTGAACCTGGGACTTTCTGCATGCAAAGCAAATGCTCTGCCACTGAGCTAAGGTCCTTCCCAACACATGCATGGCATTTAATGCAATTCATTGAACAGCTATTATCAGTAAACAATCTGAAATGCGGGTAAAATTATGTTTGGTGAAATAGGCTCCTAGAACTGGCTTGCCTTTTTGTTCTTGCAAAGAAGGAAATACTGAGGAGCATCTGCACAACCCAACAGTGTGTGTGTGTGTGTGTGTGTGTGTGTGTGTCTGTGGGGGGGGGTTAAGGTTGCCAACTTTCAAATCGGCACATGCAGCTCTCTCTTCAAGCACAGTTTGATAGGCAGCAATTGGCAGGTGATAATGCTTAGCTGCAAAAGTGGTGCCTGCTGGTTTATGCAAATCGAAGCTTTGTTATAGGGCAGGAGTGGGTTGTTTTTGCTTTTATCTAGTTGGCAATCCTAAAGGAAATGCAAAACTTTTGGTAACCTCTATATGTGGCTTATAGAATGGGAGCTGAAAAAAGTAGGCAGCGTCCATCTCCCAGCCATGCATTCTGTTTTAATACATGCAGTTGCCTTGATAATAGCTGAGTGCAAAGAAATTGAAGTGAGCCCCTAGTGCATCGCAAGGCTAAGGATGTTATGCACGTAAGCAAAAGGACTGCTGATGTTAAACACAACAGACAGGTGATTAGATACCACACTGTTGACTCTGTTTGTTCATTATTGCTATTTAGCTGGGTTTTGTTTTTTAAAAAGTAGGTACCTGGAGGTTAAGTAAGCATAGCAGATGCATGGAGAGGAAGTGAAGAAAGGGAGGGAATTAAATCTGCTTGCTCTTATTTGTAGCTGCTAGTGAAGCTGATGTTGCTGCAATTAAACTCACATTGACTCCGGTGCCGGCAAGATTGGCAGCTGAGCATGCACAGTGGTGGGGCTTCAACATTTTCAGTTCTTACTTAAGTAGGGGGTGGGATCCTTTGGGGCCCTACTGTGCTGTATTAAATGCAAAATCAATTATTCAGCACAAAACACCATTGCCCCAGCTTCGCTGGCTTTTTGGCAGCGCCCCGATAACCTGACATATCAAATGCAATTAAGCCTTTGGTATTCTTCCATTCCTGCGGTCAAAAAGTCCACTCTTGATAACATACAAACCCCACAGCATCAATCACTTGTGTTGCCTTTTGATTCTAGGAAGATTTAAAAAAAAATCTAAACCTGCAAAAATCACAGTAGACTAAAACTTCATTTATTTAAATAATTGATTTATATTTATATTAAACGAACCTGTATCTGGTCCTGATGATTTGCAGGTAAACCTCTACTTGTAAATATTCCTTAAAAATTCCACGAGGCAAATTACTGTGTGTTTTTTAAAAGCACCATCTGATGTAGGAATTAGTACTAATGATTCTAGTGCAGTATAGTGTTTACTTGCACAGATCCAGAACTCTGTGTGCACTCCGATGTGCACCCAGACCCCCTTACATGGAGTGGTTTCCTCATTCACTTTAATTGTGTGCAAGACTCAATCCATGGGAATGTTTTTCTGCCTCTCTGCACAGCAGATCCCCCTCATCTGCAAGAGATCTCTGGATCACCACAAATGCTTTTAACATGAGGGTTTCTCTGTGTTTCCAAGCCCAGGGACCTGTAAGTTAGAGCTGGTTCAAGCAATTCGGTGAGGCGCGTGGCAGAGTCTGGGTGAAACTGCCTCACGGCACCTTAGGGAGATGGGATGTTTCAAACCACCCCTAGTTCTCCTTGCACATCCAAAACCCACTTCATCTGCATGCACTGGCTTTGCACTTACAGAGGGATTTTGACATGGAGTGCTTTCATGTTAAGTCACCATTATGGAAAAGTATGAATCAGCTCAAAGTTCCACTGAAGGCAGTGAGATGTGCCTGTAAATAGGTGAGTGGATATGGAGTTGTCTAGCCCAGTGCAGTTCACTCTAACTCAGTAGTGGGAGCCAGATGTGGCCCTCCAGGGCCTCTTTATCTGGTGCTCAGCAGCCCTATTTCACACCTTCAAGTATTTTTTTTGCCTAACTGGAATGTATCCTTGAACAGATCATGCCTCTTGGTTGCCTGGAGTGAAGAATATAGAGGTGTGTGTGTGTGTGTGTGTGTGTGTGTGTGTGTGTGTAAACAAGCCCGCTGTAGAAAGGTAAACATTTGCTGGTTCCCACAATTTTGCTTCTCACCCCTGGCATTGGGCCCCCTGCCATGTGCCCAGATGGCACTGTGGACATTGATCAGATACTGGCTCTAACTGGCATCAATTCTTAAAGACTTCAGGCACCGATCCTTTGCAGCCCTGATCCCCAAGATCTGTTTAGATGAAAGATGCTGATGGTTGGAAACGGCATGCAACTAGCAGTGTTACCGAGCTGCATCCCTTTCTCTAACCTTTTTCCCCCTTGCAGTACTGAGCTCAGATCCTGCTAAGCATGTCAGGATGGGAAGCCAGTGGCTTTTCAAAAGGGAAAAGAGAAACGCACTTGGTAAACAAAGCCCCAGTGGGTGAAACAAGTGGAACAATATATGCAAAGGAGTACAGGTTGAAATCCCTCTGAAATGCAAGCTAAGATCTTGGTTGATGAGAAAGGGGTAAGATCTGGGCCCAGGGAAGACACACTCCTCCCCCCCAAACCCTCTGCAATAAAGTTAGATGCCGAGAAAGTCCCTCTGTACAAGCTCTGTTAGAGCTTTTTAAAAAAGTGACGTTGGCGTGAAGGCTGCAGAAAGCTACAGCAACATCAGTGCTATTATTTACGGCACTACTAAATCATATTAAAATATAGTATACCGTACTGGAGTGTGATAATACTATGTTTAAGCAATTACTTTTGCTGGCTAAGATTCATGACTGCTGCACAGGCAAACCTCACCCCCTCCTATCGCTTTCAGTGGGCAACCTTTTCAAAAGCAAAGTTACCGCAGTGCCAAGCCGTCTCATTTTATGCATGGCTTTGTTCCGCTTGTTTAGCTGTACTAGTTTGCTTGAGCTGGCCACACACACACACACAGGAATTTTACTTGTTGGTTTGTGTTAGGGATGCCATGAAACGACTTATACTTTTAAAAGCAAAGTTTTTATGCAGTACCCTTTTTAGTAAGGGTGTGCCAAATGATGCTGCGGACTGCAGCTCTGGCATCATAGAATTGTGGAGTTGGATGGGACCACAAGAGTCATCTAGTCCAACTGTTTGCAATGCAGGAATCTTTTGCCCAATGTGAGGCTCGAACCCACAACCCTGAGATTAAGATTCTCATGCTCTACCAACTGAGCTATGTGCATTTTAATTTATTTATATATTTGAATGTTTATGACCCCCCGTTTTTCATAAAATATACCAAGGCAGCTTACAACATAAAATGCAATGGAACCTCTCTACAAATGTCTATAAAGCGTAATGAAAAACATCAATAAAGCATCAGTAGATATTGGCTGGTATCTACTGATACATTGTAAATATACATTGTCTCTTTGAAGCAAATGGGAGTACGAGGCTAAGTTAGGTGTGAGCCACATTTATTTGTATACATCTTGAAACGATTCACTCATAGACATGAATATTGCCTAAACCTGTAATAGGAAGCTGGTTATAAGTCATTCAATGACTATGCTGCCTAAAGTGCTACAACTCCCTCTTGAGGAAAGCTAATTCCACTCTCTACCTCCAAAACAAAACAAAACACTCTAATGGCCTTCCTTAGTTAAGATAGTCAAAATTTCATTTTTAGGAAGGCTTTGGGGACATAAACTGTTGTTTCCCTTTTGAAGTAGTTTTAATGGCTGTGGTTACATTGTTTTTGATGGATTTTTTTTATTTAAAAAAACACATTCTACTCTCTCCGTTGTTTTAATGTTTTATAGCTGTTGTTTTTCTTTCCATTGCCAAATTGTTTTTAGAATGGTTAAGTTACTGTTTCAACTTGCATCATTAACTACCTTGGGCTCATTGAGGAAAGGCAGGCTATAACCATTTTGAATGAATGAATGATAGCAAAATGGAACACCCATGTTCAGAACCAGTGTACCTGACATAAGAACAGGTCAGTGGGAATAACTGGCCCCTGGAATAACTGGAATTGCTCGGCCACTGCAGGAGACAGAGTGGGCTAGGCAGAACTTTGGTCTGATTGAGCCAAGGCAGTATTTTCCTATTCTTGCATTATATAGAAGCATTGATGGAAGATGCAGAGGTGGTTTTAGGGCAGTGCGACCAGTTCCCCAACACTGGGCACCCAGTGCAGAGGGAGCCTGGTAAGCACTTGCTGAGCTAGGAGAAGGAGACGTGAGGGCTCTGACAGGGTCCTAGAGTCCTCTCACCTTCTTAAAGCCTAATTACTGCTTTGGGAAGGAGGTAGGAAGGCTCTAGGACCCTTCCAGAGCCCTCCTCCCTCTTCCCCAAAGCCTGGCATGGCATGAGGGCTGGGGTGGCAAGTTTTGGGCTAGCTTAGGCCACCACAGTACCAAAGTCTGCCCAGGAAGATGCACACATGGTTTTGTAGGTCATCTGGGTATCTACAAATGCTATTTCACTCATTACTGGAGACAGAAGACAGGAAGATGCACCTCTATGCAGCACCTAAGTTACTGGTGAATTTGGAAGCATTTCCTGCCTGCGGTTGGTAAAGCACAGGGGGAGCACATGAGGACAAAGGACAAGAGAGCTTCTGTATTTTTTAAAACTGTTGTGTAGAGGAGGGCGTTTCAGTCGACGCAGGCTTTCTTGCCGTTGCAGGATAAGCCGCTCCTGCTGAAAACACCCCCTTTCTTTGCAACTAGTAAAGACAAATACAGGAGCCCTGCCCTTCTCTGCATCTGCTCACCCTAGTAAAAGGAGTTTACTAATGGCCTACCTTTAACAAGATGGCACGAAAGGTTAAGTATTGCAAATGCAGAGCTCCATCCTGCAAAAACATATGCCCCTGCACAGCAGTACACCCTGCATGAGGTTGTTTGCCATTTTTATTGGACCTCAATAAATAGCTTGTTGCAGGTTTCAGCAGCCAGCCTTTTCTTTTAGGGTTGCCAACTATTGAACTGAACCCTCCCCCCCCCCCGCTGGCCATAGCTGTTCCTTTACCAGCCATTTGATCAGCATCAATTAGCAGGTGAGGGCAGTTCTGTACCATAAAAATCTTTGCCTGCTGATTGCTGCAGAATAAAAAGTCTTTTAAAGGGCCAGACCAATGATTTTGTGTTCTAGCCCATTAGGCTTCATGGTCTTATGGAGGATCCTTTCTCTTTAAACAGCAACAGTGTATTACTCCTGCAGTGTTTGGGGGCCCTTCAGCTGAAGGGGGACATGGGTGTCTGCCCCAAAGTCCTTCCCTGAGATTCTCTTTGTTTTCTCTTTGTTGTGCAGTCATATTGACCCCCCCTCCTGGGGGGGGGGGGAATATGTGGGGGGAAACTGTAAACTTCCTTCAGATGGCGCATGGATTTCTGTTGTGATGTAGAATGTTGCGGTGTGCAAATGGCATAGTGGCACAGCTTCCCCTTCCTTGTCAGTTTTTGCAGCCCAGGCTGATGCTTTATTTATTGACTCAGCTGTAAGCTCCACCAACTTAGAGTCAGCCTGTGCAGGACTGCACCCTTAAAGGTACAGGAGCAGGCGGAATGGGCAGACCAGGACAGCTTGAAGTCCCACCGTTTGGAAATGATTTATTCCACACATTCTGTGGCAGCAAAAATCTGGGCTGGCCACCTAGAGAACACGTGACAGGGATCTGCTCCCTGACAAGTGTGGCTGTGTGCGACATGCATGTTTGTAAACATGTACTGATCACTTACCACTTTGAGGCATTTATTTAATGCATCCTAGGCTAGAGCTAGATGCTGCAAAACAAACATATTCCTAACCCTGGGCTTGTTTGGTTATTGCATTTATACCCCATCTATTTCCCTCCAAGGAGGTGATGCACATGGTTCTCCCCCTCCTCATTTCATGCCCACAACAGCCCTATGAGATAGGTTAGGCAGAGAGGTGGTGGCTGGCCTAAGGTGACCCAGTGAGCTTCTTAGTAAAGTGGCGATTTGAACCCTGGTCTCCCAGGTCCTAGTACGACACTCTAACTGCTGCACCAACACTGGCTGTCAAGTTTACCCCTGACCCCAGTGTGGGAACAACTGCTGGGTGAATTGGCAGATAGCATGAGGGTGCTTAATCCTTCTGCTGCCGCCCAGTTCTCCCTTCCCCCTCTCCTTGTGGCTTGCTTCTTCCCCCTTTTTTTCTGACCAGCTATATCTGAGCCTAGAAATATGCCTGGCCTGGGAAAGGGATGAGGTTTGGGGAGTACTGGCAGATGGGAGGAAGATTAAGCGGCCCCTCTCCACCCCCTCAGTTGTTCCCCATCTCCACATTATGACCAACATGTCTTTGATGACTTAACGGGTGTTGTTGGTCTCTAGATTCCCTCAGCTTTAGCCAGCATGGCCGGTGGTCAGGGATGATGGGAGTTATAGTACAACAACATCCAGGCAACCCCTACCTCCTCACCCTGGATTACCATATTGTGTCACATAAGGTGTATGCCTAGATAGATAACACATGAAGCAGACTTAAATACTGACATGGCATTTTAGGTACTGGTGCATCTGTGTTACTGGCTTAGTCTCTTGTTTTCCAGAACTTGTTTGTTTGCATTGACAGGAATTTACTCTCCTTTAATTTGTTAGCATAGTTAACTAGGCTGGAGTTTTACAGGGCACGTTGTGAATCAGGTTCTGTGCTCTGGTAGTAGCTAGTTAAGTGTACAGCCATGCTTTTTGAATTAAAAATATATTAACTTTTTCTTTTTATGAATAGGCCCCATAGTGTTCTGAGCTTTCCTGGTTTTCCCGCCCCCCCTCCTCCCTGCTATTAAGTTTATATTTTATTCTGAATTGAAAAGAACATTGTGGTTGTCTTGACTACTAAAAAAGCTTATCCTACACACCGCTCAGAAGATGTGCATAATGCATCGGTTAAAACAGAAGGGGGGGGGGGGGAGAGAGAAAAGCGCAGAGCAAAGCTCTCACTCTGCTCCGCTTCTGGGACTCTCCAGCAACAAATCTCGAGGCAATTTCTGCTAGGATGCCGTCTGTTTAAGCAAAGCTAACTGGCTTGCCACATTGTTATGCATTCATGTGCTGTGTCGGTGATCATTTTCTTCAGGCACATTCACTTTGCAGGTTAAAAATAAAATAATAAAATAAAATCCCCCTTCCTGTTTCTCTTTCTTTCCAGGCGATAGTGTACGAAGGCCAAGACAAGAACCCAGAAATGTGCAGAGTTCTGCTCACCCATGAAATAATGTGCAGGTAAGAAAGCTCCTGTCACCATTTAATTAGCAAATGCAAAATTAATTTCTGTCTCAAAAAAGAAAGCGAGGTGGGGGGATGAAAGTAGGTTGATCCTGTAAATATTTTGGAATGTAAAAGCATCACTTTCTTTGCTTCTAAGAAGCCCAAAATAACACAGTTTTACGTCTGCAATTAGCAGCAAAGCCCCCAGTCATCATACACATTTTCAATTATTTATTGGAGCTCAATCCTCAACAATGTATGAGAAGCTTCCGTTTAGACACTGTAGCCTTAATAGGCGCAGGAAATGTCTTCACACCAAAAATGTTAGCATCTAAATTGCTGCCTTTCGAGGAGGAGTCATTATCCAGCAGAATCTCCCAGCAGTAAAATTGCCATGTTAGGCCGCTGGGATCACGATGGGCTTTCATTCAGCCGGACAGAAAGGCAGAGGATGTTGTCATCTTTTTACGGATTTACAGGTTTATTCTCAGCAGTGAGATGCCATTTCGGCTGCCTGGGAAGGGCGTTTTAGGGGGCCAGGGAAGGGAATATGGTCTGTGGTCAAGGTGATGATATCTGTAATGCAGACATAAGGCTTGGATGCCGCAAGGACTCTGGTGCTCAGGTTTACTATGGCTTCTTCGTTTCAATGGGACCATTCATGGGAGCAAATTTACACCTATTTCGAAGCCTCGGATAAGAGGCCATTGGCTCGACACAAGGTTTGTCCTTGTTTGGAAATATTTCCACATGTGTTTCTATCCAGGGCTGGCTTCTTTGGATCTGGCAGAATTAAGCAACAGCAACTCTACTGGGGCTATTTGGGAACTGATCGCAGCATCTTTTTTCTTTCTTAAAAAAAGAAATAAAGATGTGGGTCTTTTGCTTTTCCGATTCCATGAAGGATTGCATTAGGGTGCTGCCAGCTTTTGCACTGGGCTCCTGTGCCTGTCCCTTTAATGGCAGTTTGATTGGCAGCACTTAGCAGGTGAGTACGTTTAGCTGCAGGCCATGAAGAGCTCTGCTGCTGATGGCTGCTGCAGAACAAATCTCTGTTAAAGGGAATAGGCGAGGCCTTTTCTTTCTTAGGCCATGTGACAAAACTCTCAGCAAGATCCGTAAGCTCATGCTAATAGGTATGACCCTACAATTTCAGTGAAGCCAGTGAGTATTTTTTAAAATAAATTTCAGGAATTTCTGTGCAGTGAAACACTGATGTAAGGAGGGAGGCCTGGTGAAAAATGGCCCCAGAGCTCCCTTTCCTTTGATTGCTGTGTAGGAGAAGGAATTTCAGTAGATAAAGCTTGGATGACAAGCTCCAGCGGCTGAAATTCCCTCTTCTATTTGAGGTGCAGGAAACCTTTATTCTTTTTCACCTGGATACTCCACATTGAAAAGTGGGAAAGTTCTCCAGATGACTATCAGAAACTCTGGTGTCAATTGTGAAACAGTGTATTCTTGAGGGTCTCTAGGGGTTGTATCAAATGGATTTGTCCCATGAGTGCAAGTGCTTTCACCTGCGATATGGGTCTTCATTTCCCTCTCCTTTCTCTGCATCCTCCCAATCCACTCAGTTGGTTGGGGAAACCTCCATCACAGATTGGGGGCAGGGTGGTTGGGGGAAGAGGAAGTCCTGTTAGTGCAAGTCGTTCTTGCACTAACAAGACAACTTCATTAGATAAAAACCTAGGCTCCAAAAGTGAGACATGGGGATCATTTACAGTTTTACTTACAGTTTTACTGTGCAGCAGGCAGAAATCCAATAGGTGAAGCATATCTCCATACAGGACAGCACACACGTGTTGAATTTCTGCCTGTTGTGCAACTGTTAAAATTGAGAGCGCCTTGAGGTGAGAACTGTTCTATTGGAGTGCATATAATGGGTGTAATTTGGAGAAAGTTTGAAACACCCATCTCGCGGGGGGGGGGGGGGGAGGAATTTAACATTGTTTACATTTAAGCAGCACAAATTTCAGTCTGATTTCTCTGGGCTCCAACTATATCAGATAAGACGCTAACCACGCTTTATTGAAGATAGTGACAAAATTCCCCATGATTTCAGTGTGAACAGATGGCACTTGGAATTTTAACACCCACAAGACTTCCTTTCATTTATAGTGCCAACACACAGTAGTCTGTTCTCCTTAAATTATACAAAACTCTACATATTTACTTTAAATAAACCAAAAATGCAAAAAATAACTAGATGTTAGCCAATTTTAATATCTGTGTCAGTAAATTACATGGCTGCCAATATACCTTGACATGAAAACAACATTCTAGGCCAAAATTTTGAATTTACTTGATGTAGTATTTGCATTGTTCTTAAATGTGCAATAGATCTTTCAATTTCTCACTGCTTTACAAATGCATGCAGGCAGGCAGAAAAGGACATGTTGCTTGAAATAAGAGGGTAATACCCTGTTAAAATATTTTAGGGCCAATGTGAGCATTCTTAGATGTTGACCAAACTATAAAAGATGCTCTTTTTTCTATCTGGCTGCCTGATCTTAATGCACAAACCTCTGATTGGTTGTACTGATACCACACTTTTCAACAATAAGGAAGGTTTGGAGGGTGTGTGTTCCAGCCTTGGTTTCTCTACCACTCGCTTCCCTGCCTGCTATAAGTGGAAGTTGGGATGTGCTGAATCTGCACCAGGGGTTCAAATGCAGCCTCAATTATAAGCATAAAATTAGAGTCTGTTCCCCATTAATCAGCCCAGCTAATTGCTATGCACTACCATTAGCCATATGGTGTGAAAGACAGCTTGCTCTCTCTAAGATGAAATTTCTTCATTCCAGACATGAAATAGTGAAGGCCCTGTGCTTCAGAATAGCTTGTTTTAGATATTTAATTCCCAAACAACTTTCAGCAGCGCCTTCGATCAAGGCTAACGGCACAATAAAACTTTGAGTTTATGTCACCAAAACCGAATATTTACAAAATGGAAGGGACTGTGTTGTGGAGGAAACAAAGGGCTCAGATGTAGAGGAGAAATCCTGGATGAGTGGAAACGGCAAAGAACTGAATTGAGATTAAAAACGGGCTGCTTGTTTACTGCACAGGATTTCCAAGTATCTTGAAGAGATGGTTCTTTTGGTGATGATAAAAATAAGAATAATGCTGAGGACAGGAATAGCTTCATAATTCATATTAGAGGAGAATCTTCCAAAGCTAATTTTTGTTAGTGGCCATTGTGCAAGAGAGATGTCAAGGTGCAACCTGACTTCTAAAGAGCATTGTCCTCTTTTCACCATAGAAAATTTGTGTTATCGTCAGCTTGTGTTTACTTTTAAATGGCAGTTATTGTCTGGATGCTTTCTGGCAGGCTTCGAAGTTGGCACGATTCAGATTCTGGCTCTTTGTTACCATCCCTTGGAAGCAGCAGTAAAAAGGGCAGTCATGTGAATGGGCCCCAAGATCTGCAAGGGGCAGCTTCTTATACTGTATAGTGGTACCTCAGGTTAAGAACTTAATTCGTTCTGGAGGTCTGTTCTTAACCTGAGGTACCACTTTAGCTAATGGGGCCTCCCGCTGCTGCCGCACAATTTCTGTTCTCATCCTGAAGCAAAGTTCTTAACCCGAGGTAATATTTCTGGGCTAGCGGAGTCTGTAACCTGAAGCGTATGTAACCTGAAGCATATGTAACACGAGGTACCACTGTACTCTCAATGGAGCACATTACGGGTTACAGTATTATTTTATTTTGGGGCTATCGTTCTCATGTTCTAACATAGTATAACCCAGATCATCATTAGCTTCTGTACAGGATGGTTCACCTCTGCTTTTTGTTCTGTAGTGGTTTCAAGACTGATCATTCTCAGAGCACTAAATGACCCAACACACACACACACACACACACACACACACCCACAAACAACACACATACACAGAACAAATACCTATCATTTATACAGTATATGCCAAGCTTCACATTGTTCAGTGCAGAAATCCTTACAACTGCTGGGTACGGCTGACTGATATTCTCACCATTATATAGATTGCAGGGTGTGTGTGTGGCTAACCCAGTGAATTCATGACTGATAAAGAGATTTTATCCAGAGCCTTCCTATGTCATTAGGCATCAAATGAGACATGATGTGGGGTTTTTGTGATTGGCTCTCCAGTGCATATACCTCCACGATCCTTTTGATCATTCGATTTCAATTCCAGCATGGGGAACCTGTGGCCATTCAGATGTTGTTGGACTGAAGTTCCCACCCATCCCACATAAAATGGCTAATGGTCAGGGAGTATGGGAGTTGTAGTCCAGCCACAACCTGGAGGGCACCAGGTTCCTCACCCCTGCTTTAATGAGATCAGGGTTGTAGTGTACCATGACCCTGATTGAAATAGTCCTCCTGAAGCTGTGGACAGGGGCCCATGTAGCGGACATTAGTTTCAGGTGTGTGTGATTTGGATCAGCCCTGTGCCTCACTGCACTACAGCCCCAGTCCAAACTAGACCCTCTCATGGCTGCTTTTAAAGAGGTGGGAAAACATCCAGTGATCTAGTTACAGATGTTTCATGCAAAACCTAGTTTGGTCTGCAGCTCTCGTTTTCTTAAAACAACAACAACTCTGAATCTTCAAAATGAATTTGCTTTGAGTTGTATATTTCTTGGCATGGTCCATATGTTGTTTTTTAAAACAACAACCACCCAGTTTTAATGTAGGAGACATACTCTTTGTTTAACGCTCACTCTCACAAAAGTTATGTTTATGAAAATCAATAAGAAATATATATACTGTAATGATCATGATGCAGTCAGAACTAAACACTTTTAAAGTCCTACTGATTTCAAAGGGAGAGAGAAACACATGCTTAAAAAGAAAAATTAAGATTTAAAAGTGCTTAACTGTGCCTTCATTATGACCTTTATTTGTTCTGTTTATGTACCTACATATAAATTCATGCAATAATCAAAGTGGAACTCTGTTCTGAGTGGTTTAACTGCTCCAAGGAGACTCCAGGTTTCTAGGCATGGGTTTGGGATGAGGCATCAACAAGTGGAATGAGTGTGCTTATCACTTAAGTGAATAAAAATGCAATTCTTTTCAGATATGACTCATTGTGGGTCCCCGTGTGTTCTCCCTCTATTGCTAACTATTTTAATGCATGCATTCCGCCCATCCCCTTATCGCTTACTAATTCCTCAGTAGTCTGGGTGGGGCCCTTAGTTTTCAGCAGTCATTTAAAACTATTTCATGTCGATCACTTTTTAATCTTGCACTCATCTTGGAAAGGAGGTGAGGTCACATCTTTAATTAGTACTACTTCTTTGGAAGGGAGTGCTATTTGCAGGTTTTTTAAAAAAAAAATATGAAAAATGTTTCTAGCAGTACATGAGTGTGGGGGTGTGGGGAAATATGACAGGGTGGTGTGAAAATTGATAGACAGTCCTCAGATGCTGATATGTCTTAAAAGTTATTTTTTACGGAGCAGAGAACAAATCAACGGTTCTCGTTATATTTGGCGCAACCAAAACAATGCCAATTCCCCACAGGTGTGGAAATCCATTCATCTGTGAAAAAGTAAAAAAGTTTGAAGCCCTTTATAGCTGCTGTGAGCTTTCTGCCCTGTGAAAAGAGTTGTGTGTTCTTTCCCATTTTTATTTTCGTAAAACTGCTTAAACAGTCTGGTTTTGTAAAAGGCGCTTCTGTTATGCTTAGTGCCGTTTATCATTTTATTGCCAATCTTGGTGGGTCCCCATACATTATTCGCTATATTGTTGCACAGCACAAGCAAACCTTTGTCGCTCTCCCTGGAGAGCTATTTATATGGCACGACACTTCCAAGAACTCTACTGGGGAAAAGAAGTCTATCTTCACACACAGTTGGTGTTGGGTGAGCTTCTAGTGAGGGGCTGAATTCTGGCAAGATTCAAGTCTCACATTGAATATTGCTGGTCCTCTTCTCCCTTCACTTCCCAGCCTTCCTGAACCCTGGCCTTCCCTTTAGCATTTTTGATGGGAGGCCAAGAAGCCAACAGCATATACTGCTTGCATTTAAATTTCCTTCATCATATCAGTATCTGATCCCAAGTGCTTCTGTTCAATACTTCCCCTCATACACACACAGGGCACAGAGCAGCCCTGTCACAACAGCCATGTCATGTGAGTAACACATGAGGAATGCTGCCCCAAGACGTTTTGCTCCCTATAGCAGAGTCCAAACCCCCCTGCTTTACCCTACTACGATTCTGTCATTCAGGTTCAATTTGCCCCTTCCTCGATCCACCCGGATGGTGCCACTTAAAACAGGTTTCTTCACCCTGCTGTATGATTGGTCCAGCTTTGTGTATGTGCTAGGAAGTAGTGTGTGATTTAGCGAGGGTGAGGAGGGGGGTCTCTACATGACGGTTGTTGCCGTGAAGCACCCGGATCATAAAGTGGCTTGAAAAATTCTTTTGGGGGGAGGGGAGTCTGAATGCACCAAGTCTTATATTTGTATATTTAGGCATGCACAAGGACCAAGAGAAAGATACAGAAGGATGCAACTCCCTACCTTGAGGGCCTATGGCTTTGTTTGCCTTCCGTGATTCCCTTTTAGGTATCCACAGACATCACGAACTTATTAAACATGGGGATGAGGACAGTGATAGTGTCTATAGCCAAAGCTCCCACCACCCCAGGCATTCCCATTTGCTCATGGGCAGCTTACTGGGCATTGGCATGGCCAACCACTCAGAAAGGTCTAGGCAGCTAGTTGATCTGCCCAATTCTAATATCCACCATGCAGGTGCACCATAGAGATAGTAAAAGGTTAAGAGTGATCCTCGCATGCACACTTCCTGGCTCTGCTCGCAAAGCAAGTCTTTGTACAGAGAGCAGGCACGTCCAGTTTTTTTTTAAAAACTAAAAAATGTTTAGGAGTACGTACTCTCATTTTCCTACTCATATTGAAATACTGCCCCTCAATGAGACCAAACTTAGATTCACAAAATGTTTAAGGGTATGCGTACCCCTGCGTACCCCCAGAAAAAAGCACTGGGCATATCCATAGAGATCGGAAAAAGTAAAGAGTGATACTTGCACACACACTGTCTGGTTCTGTTTGCAAAATCCTGGGCGTTTTGGCAAATTCAAAGCATCCAAACTGAAATTTTACCCCCCCCCCCCAAGAAAGAGGACCTGTCTGGGAAAAAGAGGATGTATGGCAACCTTAATCTACTCAGAAGCAAGTCCACTGAGCTCAGTGGGTCCTACTCCCAGGAAAGTGTGTGATATTTTAGCCTAAATTGTAGTGGAAGTAGAATATTTAAGAGCATGTATTGTGATAACCTTTTAAAAAAATACTTCACAACTCTAGCAGGATATGTGGGCAATAATGCACGAAAGAATTAGTTATACCGGGGAAGGCTTAACTTGTTGTCATGGACTGGCTGGACGCAGAGCAGTGGTGGGTAGGGCTGCCATACGTCCAGGATTTCTCGGGCATTATCGGGATTTCAAAGGCAGAAGTGACATATGGGGGGGGGGAATTCCGGAAGGCAGCAGTTTGTCCTATGGCAACCCTAGTGGTGGGAGGCACCAGCTGGTAAATCTCCAAGGGAACCCCTAGGGGAAGAAGGCCCAGAGCCAGGGGGAGTGGTGGTGGGACGACAATGGGTGCTCAGAGGGAGCAGATTGGGACTAGGAGGTGTCGGAAGCAGAAGAGGCAACAGGGTTTGGCGAGCAGAAAGAGGCTGTGGCAGAGAGCAGTCCAGAAGAGGAGGCTGGAGAGGAGGGAGGCTCAAGAGGCAAGGTGGAGGCAGGCTGCTGAAGAAGCCAAGGAGTCTCCCCCTCCTGCTCTCTCCCAGAACACAGAGAGGAGTGAAGAGGGTGGAGCAAACAGAGACAAGACAAAGGAGCATCAGGATGCTGGGGAAGGACCCCGCCGGGAGGCGGAGACTAAGCTGTGGTAAAGTGGCGACCTTCAGTCTTCACAACTGCCTCATTGGGGCAAGACCTACTCGGGAAGGGTTGCTGTTATCCCTAGTCCTGCACTGTTTTGGTTCCTTTCATGGGCGTAGCCAGGATTTTTTTGGGGGGCAGGACTTTTGTTAGGGGGCAGAACCGACGTGATTGGTCAGTTAGTTAAGTATTTCTATTGTTTTACTTGTTCTACGGCTGGCAGCTGACCCCCCCCTTAGCTACACCCATGGTTCCTTTGAATAAACTTCACTGACACCAGGTGTTTTCTTGCTGACCTGACTCCAGCTCCTGACACCTGTGGCCATTCAGGTGTTATTGGACTCAAAATTCCCACTAGCCCCAGCCAGCATGGCCACCAACCTGCTCCGGTGTTTGTAATTTGTTTTATTTTTATTTTCTTATATTTATGCCCCTGTTTCTTCTGTCATGGGCTCCAAGGCAGTGTACCCATGGCTTCCCAATAGTCACACATCCAGGCACTGACCAGAACAAATTATGCTTAACTTCAGCAAGGTGGTGCCCTCATGTGCCTTTGAACTGTACCATAGGATTTTAAATGTAAAGACCAATACATTTCTTGTTGGCAATTAGTTTTGCCAGAGATGTATGGTAGCTAAAGAGGGTCAGGCAGAATTGGCTTCAGAGACAGATTTGGCTTAGGGTCTATGAGTGCTGATCACTATTTTCGATCACAGGGCAGTCCTGTGTATTGAATCGTGAGAGCCAAACAAGAAATATGAAAATGCATCTCACTGTTAAGAGATGATTATTTGAGATGTTGGTACTTTTTCCAGCACCAAGTGTCAAAGTGGAAATAGATCATGATCACACTTGTGTATTACCTGCTAATAAGGTGTAAATGCAAATTTCATGGCCATGTAGCGTTTTTTGTCTTTATTCCAAACAGGCATCATCCAGCATATTGAACGAAATGTGGCGAGAATGGTCTTAAATAATGCAACATGGAAAACATTACGAATTTCTTTTGCTTTCTGGATTCCAAGCATTCCCAAACCTTGCCGTCATGTTTACAAACAGCTGCAAAACAATTAGGTCTAGAAATGTTTTTTGTTTTTAAATGAGAAGCTGAGAAATTGAGGATTCTAACAGTCTACAGAACGAGTGCATTCAAACAATCTCTTCTTCATAGGAGTTTTCTGCCTGCTCTCTTTCTAAACTTATCTATGGGACGTCTCGAACCATTGCAATGTAGCTGTAGAAGGTCATAATTATTATCTCAAGAAATCTTGCATTATTATCCCTAAAAAGTGGGATAACCCTCTTTCCCCCTTTTTATTTATTAATTGTTGTTGCTTGCCAGCTGTACAAGATGTTAGACCTAGTCATTAACCCATATGTGACCTTCTATATTCAACTGATTTTCAGACAGGGACAGAACAGTAACTCTAGCCGGCAATGTGAACCCTCCTATATTTGTAATTATGATTTTGAGAGTGTAATGGCTGCACTAAATCCTCTCCCTTTTTGCTCTGCAGCCGCTGTTGTGACAAGAAAAGCTGCGGCAACAGAAATGAGACTCCTTCAGATCCAGTGATAATTGACAGGTAAGGGCTGCTATCCTTTTCCTTGAATTTATTCGAGCTATTTGTGGTGTGTGTGGTAGTTGGTTTTCTTTTTGTGGGGTGGGGGGACGACGACTCCTCATTATAATGAAACACCTGCCTTGTGTTGCTAATGGGCAAAGAGTGATGTGCGTCCGTGGGCGTAATTTTGTCGTTCATAGGGAATTAGTGATGCTATAAGGTTTTGATTTTTGTGGAAAGGCCATATGGAATGTAACTGTGAGTGGAGGCTCTGTGGAGCGTTCTGGTGCTCGTCTCTGATTCATGCTCCTAAAGGGGGACATTTTTCTCTGCAACTTTCTGCGCCTCGATTCGCATGCTGTGCCTGGGAAGCTTCGGGAATATAAAATAATAATAGTTTGTGATTTATGAAATGTGGTTGGGTGCTTATAAATATTTAACTTTTTACTTTGAAAAATGTTTGAATCATTATCACTTTTTAGCTACAGTAGTTCCCTTGGATGCAATCTATCTAAATTGTAAGGTTTGTTTTATTTTATTTATGCATTAAGATATCTGAAAACTAAAGATTCCTCTGCCCCCCCCTTTCTCACCAACCCCCCCACCCCCGGATTCCAGCTTGTTTTCTTTGGTTTGAGTGCAATTTTGATTGTATTGTCAGTTGATTAATTCATTTTGCCTGTCTTAATTATTACGGTTTCTAAACCGATCCAAATTACTAATCTGACATGACCGAATAAATCACTGTAGAACAATAAATTCGCTGGAGTTGTTCTGTGCAATTTGCACTCGGCAGACTTGCAAATTAGGCAACGCTGTAGCCAAAGAGTCACTTTTACATTTTAATTATTGAAGCTCGTCATACAGAAACATATGATAAACTGTTACGATGTCGCATTACTTTGTGAGAATTAAGTGACCACGCAAGGCTGATACTGTCCATTATCAGTTAAGAGAAGGAGTACTATATCATTGTGGTGTGGAACTCTGCCTCTTGCTTTGCTGCCTGAGTTAATGTTCACAACGTTCAATTCATCCTCTTTGTTGGATTGCTCAAAAAGTGCCGTGTGACGTCGGAGCAAGGTGGCATTCTGTTATGCAGTGACTGGAAAGGCATGATTGATAAGCCATTGTATTTATGTAGTTTTATGTCTTTGGTATGGCTTTTGAAACAAGAAGTTATGCTTTCATGGCAAATGTCTTTGCAAATTATTCCTGAGTTAGTTTACAGTACGGTAGCAGTGAATTTATACTGCATACTTGCATTGCTGAAGAGCGTTAGGTGAACACAGGAGAGCACAAAAGTAATTAATTAATGTGTCTGTTGTGTATTCAAGGTGTATTATAGTCTGATGGGGTATTAAAGATGGCACTTACAGTTGCATGGAAAATTTATATGTCTCCTACATGGTTCTTAACAACGAGATAGATACTGAACCTGAAATGTGTGTGGTTCTACCTACATATAGATGTGCTGGCTGTGGTTCATTTTAGGAATAAAACCATTGGCATTGACTGCATTTTGGACAAGCATATTTCAGCTTAGTAAGCCAAGAGACGAACAAGCATTTTGCCTATGCGTGAAGATCCTCCCTTCATATTGCAAGAAGTCAAATTGCAAAATCTATAATTAACCACAACTTCTCATTTTGTCCAAGCTGAAGAAAAAATGGTTATAAGCTTTGGAGCAAGTGAGGGGTGCTAAACCAACTTCAAATTGTGGTTTCATATCCTGGCATGTTTCAAAGCCATGGTTTCTTGGAAATGAATGATTGGCAAACTATGGTTAATTAGGTTTGCTATTTTGCTTCTGTGGATAGGCAAAAGCTGTTCATCTCTTGACTTACTAAGCTGAAATCAGTCATCTGATCCAGGCACCCTCGTCTGCATATTGTTCCTCTTCTTAGTAGTTTTGGACAACTTGGGTCATACGGTACTTCACCAGCATTACAGAACTTTGCGCTGAGGCAGATTAAAAGCTGGAATTTGGTTTGTGGAACTGGGCTCTATTAAACTTTGCCTCACCACACATTTTGAGTGTGAACTGGTTAATCTTTTAAAATTCTTCCCTTGGTTTTAAGTGGTGACTTTGATATGGAAGGTTGATATGACTGTGGTTTGAATAACATCTGATTTTGACCCGCTCCTTTGGGTTGCAGTGGCATAAGAAATTTGACTCAGCTGTGCTGTAATTAGCCTTCCCTGTGTTTTTGAAACAGGATTGAGTTACCTGGATCGCATTAGTGTGGCTTCTATTGTTGCCGCTTAGCATCTGTCCCAGTAGGGTACTTAAAACCTTTTTCTTGGCCAGGGCTAGTTCAAACAATTTAGGCAAAATAAAGTATGCGCTTTGTACAGCTAGTGGCTCTGGTGATGTTACTAGTGACATTTACCCTGTGCATATTATTTCCCCCTTGGCTTAGAAAAGCATAAAGCAATCTATATGAAGTCTGTGTTTTAAACAGAGTACTTTACAAATTGTTTTAACATTAAAAAGCCGTCACGAGCTGGAACATATGTTGAGTTGCACTCTGCTGTCACTCTGGCGTGCATAAAATTGTAAGCTATTATGCCAATTGATATGCAAAACCATATTTAGCTATTTTTTATTTGCAAGTGATCCTTCGCAGGACACATTTGGGGAGAGGGAGAGAGTTTGCAAAGATGTTCTCTGATGCCCAGCAGACTGCTCAGTCTTGTATTTGACCTGTATTTATAGAATGGGCACCTTAAATGCTACATTTAAGTAGGCAAGGATCACATTTGAATCATAGACATGTTTCCTTATGGGGATTACTACTTCTTTGCTATATCTGCAGAATACGGTTTTTCAAATGTCTGATCAAGAAGGATACTTACGATTTTTACACATACACTCTAAATGATATTAGAGCATGTCTGGAAAATTTTGAATGACAGTAGCCACATGTGAGTATTGACAATTCTGGACAATTGCGAATCTCTGAAAATTCAAAGATACACTGGTGAATATAGGCAGCTTAAAAGCGATTACATTTGTGTGTTATGAAAAGTGGGGATATATGACACATGTAAAACCTTTGTACCTACAGAGTTGTATAACATGCTCTTTTGCCTCCAATTATCATTTATATTCATTTATAATAGTCAGAATGAACTGGAGCCATTTAATCATAAATGTAGAGTGTTGGAACAGCCTCCGCAGATGCACTGGGAAATGACTTTGTATTTAGAGGAGCACGTTTTGATTGCGATCAAAATGACCTTAGGAAATTTTCTATACTCTAGAGATCTGTCTTCCCTCCATACTGTGGCATCAATCTATTTTTCTCATAGGCAGTTTGTATTACAGAACAAAAGAATTTGCTTTATATCAAGGCTTTATACCATTGGTTCATATAGCCCAGTATTGTATGGCTGGCTCCAGGCTTGAGGGGAACGTGGGCAAAGTGTCCCCTCTCTATCGGTGTGCCTTATCACCTGGCTACCATGATAGCACTTCAAGGAGTGCTGTTTTGCTAGATTTAGTTACCCTTTAAATTCCCCACAATTCCTCAGAGTGACAAAAAGTTTGGGGCATTGAGAGAAATTAAAGTGGTGGCTTGATACAGTCATCTGGCGCTGCTCCAAATGCCACATCAGATGGTGGTGTGGTGGTTGGGAATTAAGGTTGGAGACGAGTAGGTACTGGGGTCCTGTCAGCTGCTCAAGGATGCCAGACACAGGCTATGAATACTGTTTATGTTGGTCCTTCCCAACCCTACCAGAGTTACCAGGGTATTTGCTTTTGCCACAGAGTACTGCTGAGTTATGGCCTCAGTGTGTTTGTGTTGCGCACGTGCGCGCGCACACACACACACACACACACACACACACAGATGCCTTAGAGATGCTGTAAAATAATCTCCAACACAATCACACAGATTAAAATAAAAGCCCTAGGGCTACTTTAAATGAAATCATTGCACTAGTGGGCTTTCCCCCCTCTAGTGTGCCCCATAGCCTCCCCAAACCTGCTCCAGAGGGTCAGGAGAACCCCCAGAACAGTGCAAGGGAGGAGGAGAGGAGATACTGTTTGGTTTGCACGAACAGAAATGCTTGTACAGTACTGACACAAGAATCTCCTGAGCACTACACTGAACGCAGCCCAGTATCCCCAATGAATGACATTTGTTGCCTTGGCACAAGGTGTGCTGGTAACAGCTTTCCCCCATGCCCCAACTGGCCCTCATGTGTTCCCTGTCTTGCTTAGTTCATTTTACAACAGGATGATACAGTTTACATTGTACAGAAAGTATAGCAAAATGAGATAGGGCGTAACATCTATTTTAAGGTAAATTATCATTTTTTAAGTGGAAGGTGCATGCATCCCCCTAAAAGCACCTGCAAGTTCATGGAGATGTGGTGGGGACGAGTCTTTGGAGGAAGCGAGTGCGATGCAAAAAAATTCAGGGTGCAACAATTTCTGTTACAAGTGACACTGTGTGCATTCAGCCTAGTAGTAGCAAAAAAATAAAATAAAAAATGAACCACTTCCTGTTATTACATTCTACATAGATTTAACATTCAAACGGTAACTCAAATTTGAATTTAAAAGGTTTGCTATAAAATTCCTGGGCAGGAATTGAATAAATTGTACTTTTATTGCCACAGTGGAGATTCCCATGTTCTAACCTTTTTTCCATATAGCTATTCTAGTTCAATAAATAAAACCTCATTAGACTATTCCCATTTCAATGAGTTTATTAAATTTTACAGGAGTAATTAGCATAAGCTGTGCTAATTTTTCTGGAAGACTAATGAGAGAGCTTCCTAATTAGGTTTGCTTTGTAAGAATCTGAAAAGATGATAATGAAAAAAGTCACATAGGGTGCAATACAACAGGAAGGAAGAGTCTTATTATTTCTTGATTTGTGAAAGATGATTCTGTGTCTTGGCATGGCTTCAAACTTAAAAAAAAAAGCCTCACACACATTTTAAAAAACCGCCCAAACTGACCAGGGCTGATACAGATATTCTAGTGAGATTTCTCTGCTTGTCATTTAGTTTCATCCCCGTCTCCCTTCATGGATGAAACAATTGAGCAATGGTTCTCTTGGCTAAGATAAACATGGAAAGTAATGTCTACTTCCAATGTATATGGCAGAATCACTCCAGCATAAACACTCATACCTAGTGCCCTGGATCCCCTTAAATACCTGTTGTCTGAGCATGTATGCATTCCAGTGGTGGGAGAAAAACATCCCTGATGTATGGTTATTAATGGCTCCAATTCTCAATAATGACCGGGGAGAGATGATTCCCCACTTCCCTGCCAGGAGTCAAAGCTGATATCACAAGTGTGTCATTACTAATAGTGAATCATTACCTCTGGCAAATAAGGTTTTCAGGTATTTAAAACGTTTCAAAAACCTGCAAAATTTGTTTGATGGAAGATGATTGCAGGACAAAAGAAACATATATGGGCTGCACCTCCAGCTTTCTTATAAATGACTGTCTCTAACCATATTATTTTCTGTATCCCTGTTGAGAGCTAATGCCCAAGAATCCGAGACTATTTCCCTAAACTAATAAAATAATTTATTCCAGTGCCTAGTGTACACAATTGCATCATGCAGAGACTCAGTATTAATTCTGATATCTGAAAGCAGCCACAGCGCTTAGCCACTGCCTCCAAGTTGGTTGTCTGATGCAGAGTTGTATCCTGGCTACTGTTTATATTAGCCATGCTAGAGAGGTTTTGTTTTGTTTTGGAGGGATGGGGTTAGGCCTATACCCAGTTTATCCATAATGAATAGGGCCATTTTTAAAGATAGTAACTCTAGGTATGTGATCAAGCAAATTCCCTTAAGCCAGGCAATTTCAGATGGTGTTTGTATGTTCCCAGTGTGCACTGGATTCCAGTGGAAAACATCTGCTCTCTATGCCCATAACACTCTGTACTGGGATATTTTCCCAGATTGCTCTGTGGGAGAGTAGCCAGCAAGCTTCTCCTTTGTGAGAGAGCTGTTGTGTGACCACTGCCTCTAGAGCTCTGAATTCCTCAGCAAAGCAGCCCAGTTTTGCCTGTAACTATCTATCTATCTTGCTGATGCAGTGCTAAGAGTCTGAAAATAGTTTCTTCTTAGCGTTGATTCACACAAGTGGTGCAGAAGAGGAAAAGCTTGTTGCATGATGGCTTCCAGATGCTATCCATTGTGTGCATATATGATATTGTAGGTTGAGTTTAGCATGGATTCATTCCTTTTTTAAAAAAATTTGGCACTGCCTGCACATTACTAGCTGATGTGACCTGAACGTGCTCTGTAGGTCCACCCAAGCCTTTTCTGCAGCTGAAATGGTCATATGAATCCATCTTCTGTTCATACACTTCTGTTCAACACACTTATGCTCATGCCATAAGCAGGATGGCACCAGTATGGGCAGAGGAAGGTGTATGATTGTGTTTGATGGGAGGATCCAAATAGACAAAGCTCAGATGTAGCTTGATGTAGACTCAGTAGTTCACGTAACGATGAACAGGAAGTCTGGTGTAAGATTTTTAGACGCGTTAATTAACCAGCATGAACTGTACTGTGAACAAAGATCTCAGTGCAGCAATTTCTTGCAAGGGCAGAGGAATACTTGAAATGTCTCTTCCTGCAAGGGCTGCCTCATTGACTGCAAAAGTGGTAAAATTCTGCCCATGCATCCCTTTGAACATGCACGCAGAGATCTGAAGTGAATGGGGCAGTGTGCACGTTCATAAGTTGTATGTGTGCATGACCATTATGTGTGAGTTGCTCTGTCATTAAAGTAGCCAATCTGGGGAACATTCGGCACTTTTGAGTTTCATTGGTTTCAGTGGGAGAATCAAGCATGTGCTTCAATCTCTTTCTCTCATTGAATTTAATGAGACTCCAAAGCACTTAACCTTGCTTGGATTGTGCCTGATGTTTCTGTTGGGCTTAGGCCTGAGCTTTGCTTGGAAAAGTCAAGGACACACTACCTTCCAACAGGAAATACCTCCTTAAAGAGTGACTATAGTTCTGCTCCCAGTGTTGATCCTTCTATTCCATCTGGAACAGCTGCAACTGGAATAACGGTTGCCTTCCTGAACGTGTCATTTTGGAGTTATTGGTCATTGCTCCAGTTCATCGTGCAAGTTACCTACAAACCTATATGTGGAAAGCACCATAGTATGTAGCGAAACGTATGCATTCCTCTCTATTTTAAGCACACAATGGCCCTGTGAGTAAGGCTATGTTAAGAAATAGTGATTGGTCATCTAAGGAGCTTTGTGGCTGTGTGAGAATTTGAATTCAGGTCTCCACAAGTCACCCAAGGCAAGTGTTTAACACACACCACCACCTTGGCTCTCTTCCAGCCTTTCTTCATAGTCCTCCTTGCACCGTGGCACACACTGCCTCAGTATAAGAGGAGTGAGAGGGTTGGCACCACTCATTTGATGCAATGGTATTTTCCTAATCTGCTGATTAGTTGCGGGAGAAAGAACTTGGAAACATCTTATTTGGCCCATGCCAAATGAGTGGTCCCTGCTGCTTTCTTATTCCTGGAACATGGCTTGAAGATGATGGCGATAAGCTTCGCTTTTATTTCAGGGGCAAGTTCTGTGGAGAATATGTAGTGTACCTATATTCTTTTTAGTGTAAAAAAGCCCTTAAAGCATCTGGCTGAAAGGCGGGGCCTGATCCTGACAGGGTAGCCCAGAAAGCACTGAGCACTCCCCACCCAACTTTGCAGGGGTGAGTACCTTAAAGGACCGGGCTTTTCTTTTGTTTCTCTTCACAAAACTTCAAATGTCCTATTCATAGCTATTGATTTCTTAATGCTAGCTGCTACTTCAAAGTGTGTGCAGGGGCAAAGAGGACAGAGGCGGCCCATAGGATTACCTGGGTCAACAGAACTAAGAATCTTTTATTCCATTTCATGTATTATTAAAAAGAGAGTTTTTTTGGGGGTGTAGATAGGTTCCCCCCCTCTTTTTATGGATTGCGGGGGAGAGCAGAACGAAGAAAATCCAGAAATATCTAATCTCTGAATCATAGCTGTGGAGTAAATCTGATTTTGGGATCCCTTTGTTGTACTTGAAAAATGTGCCAAGGCAGTGGAAATACACGGGGTTCCAATATTAAGAAAAAGGTTGCTTTGATTAATTTGGGGTTTGCCTGTCTGCAGAGTGATGTGGAGTGGCCTTTTCTTGCTGAAGGATGATAGGACAGGTGACTTTTCAACCTTGATTGTAGAGCCACATTGTACAGAACCCCGACTTCTCTGTAATGATTGGAAATCATTAATTAAGAAGCAGCAACAAACATCTGTTATGCCAGCGAGTCACAGCCAATTGAAGTTTCCTTTCCTGGGTACTTGTGGTGGACCAGATCCACATTGCCCCTTTACACCTGATGTTGTACACCATGTGTACATGTGTGTGAACATGCTTTTGTCAATCACTGGGATACTGTCTGGTGAACTCCTAGAATTTCTTTGCAAACTTTAAATGTGTAAATGATTATTATTTTTAATGAAACAATGCCAGAAAAGAGTATGTTCTTTTCTAGTGGAAGTTAGACCTGCAATGGCTGTGTTTAGAGAAGAGAGGAGCTTAGTTGCAGTGCAAAAACACAGATGGGAAGGTGTGGATAGACGAAGCTTTTACTGTGCTCCCCTTTACTATCTTCTTTGAGAATCATTGCTTCATTGGCACCAGCAACTTAACCGAGCACCTCAATGGTTGCTCGGTGCCACCTCCAGGTTTTGAGGGGCTCTTAGGCTAGGTGGTCCCCTGCTCTGTCACATGTTTGCCTGCCTTCTTCCATCTGCACAACTACCTAGAGAGGGAGTGTGCAGAATGCTGCACAGCAGTGAGCAGCAGGGTAGGGTGATAGTGCTCACTTTACCTCCCACTTATTGTGTTGCTGATGCAAGTAGTAGACAGGGAGGTCAGCACGGTGCAAACCAGCTGGAGGAAGCACCACCTTTGTGTGTTTACACTGCACAAACTTCTCCTTCTCTACCTCCTGGTAAGCAGCAGTAACATGGGCAATGAGAGGTCAGGTGAGCAACGCTGCACTGTCCCATCACTTGCTACTGATGCTACTCCACCTATTTCTTCTTACCACAGCTTGCATGCTTAGAGAAGGCAGATGAAGAGGTAGCAACACCAAGGAGGAAGAGCAGCAGGGCCAGGAGGCTCTGGGCCATTCCCTGCTGCAGTGATGTTAACCCCTGATGCTGCTGCCATTAAGTTTCAGCTGAAGAGCGGAGGGTCCATGGACTTATGAACCACCTAGGTCAAGCGGCAACCAGAGAGAGGAAAGGATCCTTTTCATATGATGCAGATGCTGCAGTGCTGGCCCTATAGCATCCAGCACCTGCACCACCAAGCGGTGGTGAAATTGCACCAGTACAACATGATGGCACTGAAACCACATAAAGCAGTTCTTCCACCTTTCAGCTTCCATTTAGTGATTGCCTGGTGGCCAGTAAATGCACTAGAGTATAACTGCTAGAATGCACTGTGGTCATCAATACTTTCATATAATCCAGGAAAGCAAAAATCTATTTCATGCTGCTAATAAGATGGGTCAAATTACACTGTGATCTATAGATCCTACACAGAAGGTGGCAGATTTTTTTAGAAAGGCATTTAATACAGCTTCAGAAAACAAGCAGCATGTGTCAAGAGCGTAGCATGCACTGAAATTTCTCTTTCTCTTTTAACATCCTAGCGTATTTCCTGTCATAAGAGTTCTGGAAAAGTACAGGGTGCGCTATACAATGTTGTCTCTGTGTCATTTTGGGAACTGTGCACAGGCAGTTGTGATCAGATATATTAAAGTATGAATGAAAAGTTTACTTCCAAAATTATAAAGGAGAATATTTTAAGGTGGTTCCCCCCCCCCATTAAAAAAAAAAGTCCTCTATCATTTGTGGCACTTTAAAATACTTGTGACACTTCTTTAGTATATGAAAATCTATATTCCAAATGAATGTGACATGTTTGATGCTGTTAATCTGCTCTGGGTATGAAGTAGGTCGTTAAAATGTGTTATTTCATTACCTTGAAATTATATCCTGGATGTTATTAAAGTGACCCAGATATAGACTTTCACAGCAGCCGTTGAAATGCTGTGAACAGTACTTTTTTGTCTTCAGTTCTTAGCTCCTGGAAAGGTGTAGGCAGATGAAGATAAATCTAGCACAGGCCATTTCTCTGGTTACAAACCTTTGTTCCAGTGCAAATAAAGGTTTTAGATATACAGGGTTCATTATAACAGAATTTTAATTGCTTTAATCTGGCAAAACTCCCTAGTCAGACAAGAACATTTTTTTCCTCCCTTTTTTTCTTTTAAGATATAATGGAAATACCTCTTCTTGGATTCTGCAGTTTGTGTATCCTTTCATGTTGTTTTTTTTAACCCCCTAGATTAGAATATCAACAAAGTTATTCTAGAGGTTGTTAAAGTTGTGTTTTTTCGGGATAGCCAGATTTTCACATTCTGAATGCACTGCTCCTAAATACACTTTTGGACTGAAGGGAAAGTACTTTGGAAGTGGGGTGTGTGTGTGTGTGTGTGTGTGTGTGTGAGAGAGAGAGAGAGAGAGAGAGAGAGAGAGAGAATATGTTATAAAGAATAGCCATGTTATGACTTGAACTGACACTTTAGCAATCTATATTGCATTATAGCAGCACCAGGCATCTCCAGCGTGGCATTTTCCAACTATATCATTTAGCTAACTCTTGGAGACACAATAGTTTTGTATATATCTGTATGGAACAGTGTTGGCTAACACGCCTTTAATAAGAGATTGTCTTCTGCCCTGCCATATGCTACGGGAGCAGCCACCCGCTCTGTGGGGCTTTTGATTCCTCTCAATAAGATTATTTCAAATACTCTAATCCCGAATCATTGACATGAATACAAAAGCCTAGTGACATCTAATAGATGCCTCTTAGCTTTGCTTTTTTCCTCTTGTTCCTTGCCTTTTTCTTCTTTTTTTACCTGACAAAAAGCTTACAGACACTTGGGCTCTGTCTCTCAGTAGCAGCATGGGGGGCTGCTCATGAAATATAAAGGAGGAAAAAGGACTGACATAGGGCTGATAAGCCACAGAGCAAAGGACCATAGATTAAAAGTAAATGCCAGTAAATCCTATCCTGTACACTCACTTGTTCTTTTATTGTTTTCTTTAACTCTTCCTGTGCTGGAGGAAAATGCAGGCTGAGACCAGTAAAGGGGAAGACAGGCGACAGAAGAAACTTAAGATTAGCTTATTGCTCCCTTTCGTGTCAGTTTTGACACATTTCCTGGGGTCTGGCTGACACAAATGCAAGGTGGCTTTTAGTTGCTAAAGTCGCTCTCAAATTATATTTTCAGCCAGCATGTAAATTAACAGGTTGGTTAGAATATCTTATTATATACAGAACATTAAACAGATGATACCTTTCCTACTTGGCAGAAAACACAAGTACGACCATTTATTTATTTATTTAAGCCATTTATATGCCATTTCCCCAAAAGATGTGTTTGAAGTGGCTTGCAACAATTATATAAAATCATTAATAAAGACATGTCAAACAACCTTTTGCTAGTCTTTATTGTATTCTTCATTATATTCCTCTGAGGTAGTTACTGTTATTCCCAGGCTAAGGTACAGCAACTTGTCTCAGGCCTGCAACACATTCTTTGGAGAAATGAGACCTGAACTCATATCCACATTTAATTCTCTATCCACTGAACTACTCATCAGAGATAAATTAAGAATAAAATAAACTTCACGGGCAGGCTTCAGCTAACAAACCCCATCAGTGGAAGCCCTGCACAAGGGCTTCTGCTAACTCAGTGGGGCTTTCCCCGTCCCCCCAGAATTGGTAATAGCATAATGCTGACCTCAGCCTCATGTTTTATATTTCTATAAAAATATAGAAAAATATATATTAAACAGTTCCAAGGTTAAGGAAAAAAAACACCCCTATTAACCATCTTTGGACATAAAACAATGTGTTGAACTCGGACTTTGTGATGCTTACAGCAGACCCACTGAAACCTTTGGAATTTAAGTTTTGACTTATTTTTGTCCCATTGATTTCAGTGGGTCTACATTAAGCATGGCTAAGCCAGGATCTAACCCTGTGCTGCTGGGACTTATAGGGTATGTTCATATTAGTGGCTTAAAATGCAACAGGATCATTTCTGCTTCCCTGAATTTGCATGGTGTTGCCCCTATGAAGGGCTGTGTCTGTGTGTGTGTGTGTGTGTGTGTGTGTGTGTGAGAGAGAGAGAGAGAGAGAGAGAGAGAGGTATCTTCACCTATACGCATGACCTTTTTGGTTTCCTTGCTCCCACAAGCCCCACTCCAATTCATGAAGTTGTCAGCTGCACGCACAAATATTCACATTACCACTTACTCCGTGCCCAAATTTCTAGTCTGATAGACGCTGGTTGGAGGAAAAAATGCCTCAAACGAGAAACATGCCACTATGGATTATGGCTAATGTGAACGTGGCCGCTTACACTGGCTGTGGTGTAAGTGGCTATGTGAACACTTGCTAGGCAGCAAACTCCACAGAACAAAGGAGAATTTACTTCCAAATAAATATGTATAGGATTCTGCTGTCAACCCTAAATCAGAGACTCAAATATATTATTTGATACGATTAACATTTGTTATCTGTCATTAGGCCTGAATGTACATTTTCAAATGTTCACAAAATATTTTGTTCTACACAAAGGGACTAAATACTTCACTCCAAATACTGCCATGTTCGCATTCAACAAAGTCAAGCTTTATTTGATCTCACCTAATAATCCTCCTATGGGGCCAAGAGGAAGCACTTCCCCCAAACACTTTCGGACTGATTCTTTGCTGTCAGAAGCTGTTACTGGGGGAAAGAAAAAACCCCAAAACTATTAGCACAGACTAAATTCCCTACTGTAATTGGTTATGAAGGTGGCAAAGCCTGTCAAATCATGATGATATCTGGATTTCTCTCTCTCTCTCTGTCTCACTTGCATCAGATTACAGTTAAAAACTTTAATGATTTTGAAGTAACCATCTGTATTCAAAATGTGGATTGTCGTTCAGTTTCAAACAGGTCTAACTCCAGAGTCAAAGTTCTATCTACCTCTGTGATCTCTATGAAATTAACCTTTCAGTTAGATTTTTTGGCATCTGTCTAACAGCATATCCATTGGCTGACATCCCAGATGTTAAGTTTCTCTAAGTGGATGTTAAAGAACATTTTACCTAGCTCAAATTTGGTAGAAGAGTGACAAGAGCAAGGAATAAATGTTTCATATAATCACTGCAGAGTTCTTTCCAAGAAGTGGATTAGCAAATTTCAGTGTCATACAAGGATTTTTTCCAGTGTTTCCTGGTATAGTCTACTTCAGATCTTTAAGATCTATGCTTAGGGCTCAGACATGTGTTTACAAATGTTCATGCTCAGAACAGATATTCCTTCCATCTTTGCAGTGATATAAGGACAGGGTTTTATATCAAGAGATGTTCAGCTTTCATGTCCCTTTCTAGCCTTAATATGGTCTTCCTTAGTAAGAATCAATGATTTTATTTTATTGATCTTGTCTGTTTTGGTTAGGACAGAATACAAAAACTCATGGTTTTTTGCATGTATAGAAGCCTCTTGGAGATGTGTTCTCAAGCAACTCACCTTTTGCCCCAAATATAGACATATCGCTTAACATTTGTGTCTCCAGCATCCCTACAGTTGGTTTCTTAAGCTGAATTTGCACCCCTTGTTATCTAGCATACTGACTCTCAATTGTGTCTGTCCTATCTAGCGGCGACCCCTCCTCCCAGCTGAAGCAAATTGAAGGGTATAAAGGTCATGACCCCTGACCCCTGTTTGTGACACCCTCTTTCGATATACCCTTCCAGACTGAGAACTCCAGAGTAACTCCATAGACTTTGCTTGTTTATCAATGAAGTTGCTTAGGGTTTGATGCCAGGGAATGAATGAATGACTCTGTGTTCTGTGGCTCCTCAATTAATGGAGCATTATTGTGTGTATGTGTGTGTTTGTATAGGAAGGGAGGTGGGAGAAAGAGGAGCAAATAGCTGTCTATTTCCATTTCACACACTAGCCAGTGCTTTGGTCTGAGCTGAGATTGCCAACTTCCCCCTACCCTACAGGTTCTTGTGCCTTTAATAGTTATACGTTACGCAGGAAACAACACGTAAAATGTTATCTTGGCATGGACATTCAGCAATAAGACAAGTCTTTCCTGCCAATTTCATCCTGTTATGCAGATGTTAAAGGCTCAAGAACTTTTCCAGAAAGCAAGTTGGCAACCTTATCCTGATCGAACCGGGATATATGGAATGGCAGAAAGAGGTATTTCCAGAGGTGCGCCTTTTGCAGAAGGAACAACAAAGAGTCTTGTGGCAACTTAAAAGCTAACACATTTATTATGGCCTAAGTTTTCAGTCCACTTTATCAAATGCATACCGTGTTATCCTGAGTCATAGATATATAGAGACATGATTGGAGGTTCAGAGGCAGGGATTATAAACAGTAAGGTCATAAGGAAGTATAATTAATGTACCTGATATGGTCAGCATGCAATCTAATGGCTTGATCCAGTTCTAAAACGCTTTTAGTCACTGTCCCACCAAGATCTATGTGGCTAATTTCATCTTCACAGATGGAGACCCATCACGCCACATGAACCATTCATAGAACTTCAAAGTGTCTGGGGCAAAGAGCAGTCTGATCAGTGTGTCCGTTAGATTGTATGGTTTCTTGCTGTGAGTTGGTTTCTCACCAGGGGCCCTGCTTTCTGCAGTTTTCCAAGTTGTGTGGTCAAGTCTCAGCGTGTACAATCTGCACATCATCATCCTCATCATCGTTATTTTATTTGTATGCCTTCTTTCCATGGTTGAAACCATGCTCAAGGCAGCTTACCGCATGACGAGATTTATATAATTGCAAACATAACAAAAGTCACAAACGCACATCAAAAAGTACACAAACTAATTGGAACATAAATCATAAGCATAAGCACTGTAAACAGAATCTAGCTGAAAGTGCATATGTCAGAGCAGGACCCGCTGGTGTGTTCCTATTCTACACACATCTACTCTGCAGACTTTGAACCCCTAAAAAGATCTCATGAAATCATTCAAATGCAGGGCTCATGAGAACAGCATTCTGCTCTTCCCAAAACATGTTCAGCTACTCACTGGGAAAACAGAAGTCTCAGACTTCTCAACACCATGTCCTTCCTCCCCAGCCTGGTGAGCTGCCTTATAGTGAGTCAGACCACTGGCTCATCTAACCAACTGCCCTGGCCAGCAGTGGCTGTCCAGGTTTTCTCTCAGCTCTATCTGGCTATGCCCAGGATTGAACCTGGGACCTTCTGCATGCCAAGTGGGTGCTCTGCCACTGAGCTATGGCCCTTCCCTTGACTATCAGAGCTTAATATTGAATGAGTATCAGCCTTAAAATACATGGGAGCTGCTAAATGCTTCTTCAGTAAGGTGCTTACTTGGTCAAGCAGTCAGCTGCCTTCATCTATTTAGCACAGTCCCACTAAGGCAGGCCTCTGCTTCGCTGTGAATCTTAGGCTGCCTGGCTCCATGTTTCTGCTTTTTGCCCAGTTGGCTACACAGGGAAAGTCTGCCAAGGAGATTCAGTCTGCGAGCAAGACAGTCATGTAGCTAGCAACAGTTATTTGAAATGTTCAGCTTTGACATTAAGAAAATGAGCAATCCATGCTAAAGGGAAAAAAACCTAGCCCCAAACATACAGTGCTAGATGAGACCTGCTTTACACTATTGGGGGGTGGTAGATGTGTCTGGTTTGAAAGTATTTCAATGCTGTGCTAATATATTTAGGATTATTTTGGTTCATATAATACCAGAGTATTATTGCTAATACCCATACATTTAAGCTTCACGGTTCTGCAAAGATAAACACTCCTAAGTTAAGTTGCACTTGATCCAATTAGCCCTTAAATATTAAGCAGCCTGATCCTATGTATGTTTATGCAGAAAGGAACTGCTAGTTTCACTGAGACATGCCATAATAAGGGGATCTAAGGTCACAGCCGTAGTCACTGGGATATTTTCTCCTTTCGTTATTGCTAAACCCATGCAGGCTATATATAGCTCTTTTGTGTTATTTCCATTTTATAGTGAACACAATGTTTTACGGTGACTATAACATATCTTAGCAAGTGTCTCTCGGATATTGCTGTTGGAGAAATATGTGAGGGTGTCTTTCCCCAATTTCCCGGTGGCAACACAGTTCCTTCCCATTAGTCTGTCAAGAGTGAGACAAGTTCCAAAGAGCCATGCCTCAGAAGAAGAAAAAAACAATTGTTTCCTGGGATGGGAAGCTTCCTCTCGTTCTGCCTCCCTTCCTTCCAGGCAGGTTTTGTTAGCTGCTGCAGCCGCCTCCTCGGTTATTGAGGGGTTAATGAATTGGAGCCTGCTCCCGGCAATCCCATCATGTGCCTGGTTGACTCTGAAAGAAGGTCTTGCCGTAGCCTACAGGGCATCCTTTCCCAGCTTTCTCTGAGGCCACCTGGGCAGATGAGATCCTGCACAATCTGTCCTTAGGACACAAAATCTAATCAGGCGCAGCCTTCTCTAGTCTCAGTGACCTGCCTGCTTAAGGAGGGAAGAAGAAACAGGGGCAGGGAGAGAGCTGATCACTGATAGGCTACATCGTTTCTGGCTTTAGGGAGCTCCTGTATCTCCCACAAGGGAGGAAGTCTCCCCTCCCCCTCCCATTCATTTTCAAGATAAGGTGTCATTCATGGGAGCATTGTGCTGAACTAATCAGGTTAATTGAGGAGCCCTGAATAGTACTCATTTAGTTGATCTCTTTTTCCTGTTAGAGACAGATAGTGCCGTCAGAGATGGCACATGCTTTACATTTTCTTGCACTTCGCGTCCCTCCTGTGCTGACTCCAGAATGGCAAATAAAAATGGGTTAATATGCAAACTTTGGTGACTGAATGAATAAGGTCTGCATGTACGTACTGTACGTGTTAGAGGACTGGCATTATATGGGTCTGTAATGCACACTTGTGCATGCACACCTGTACAGCATATTCCTTACAACAGAAATCCAGAACATATTCTTTCCATGATTACTGATTCTTGTATACATAATGCCATCTATTCCTTGGCTTCAAAACTGCTGTTTTACTTAAAAGTAAGAGCTATTCGACAGTGGAATAGACTCCCATGAGAGGCGGTGGAGATGGCCAACTGTCATATATGATCTAGCTGAGATACTTATAATTGGGGGGGTGGACTAGATGACCCTGGCGATCCTCTCCAACTGTACAGTTTTATGACTGTATGCTCAGCAAAGTTACACCAACAAGGTATTATTTGAAAACCCCAGGCACCGATAACTTGGCTTGTTTTAAGACACTACACAGGAAAATGAAAGTAACAAGAACAAGCTAATGGGGTGGAGTCTTACCTCCAACCCATAATAACTGGAGACAACATTTAACTCCATGATTTCCAGTTGCTGCAGTAGTTTCTTTTTCTCTCTTCCTTCCTGCCTTGCATTACTGTACTCAGCTTTCCATTGAAGATGCTCTTATTTAGGCAGATCCACTGTGATGGCTGGGGACAAAGTCATCACGAAAACGTAGAAGGTCTAGGGGGAACATTTATGGGAAAATAAAAAAATACAGTCCGTTGTATCTGTAATAATTTCACATGCATCCAGTAAAAAATGGAAAACTATTAGTACCAAGGTTCTTGCCTGGACATTAAAAAACCCCCATTGCTAAGTATTTACTTATATACAGTATTTATATATCGCTTTTTAGGCAGATCTCATAAAATGGTTTGCATAATATAATTACAACAATAAACAATTGTGTGGGGGTTTTGTTAATTACAATAGACTGGAAAACACCACTTGTTTGTTAGAAAAAGCTTCTTCTCTCCCTCCCCCTTGGAGCAAGGTGGTCCTTCAAATGCCTCTTTGGCGGCAGTTGAGGGGAGGGGGAGAGCCACTAAAAACCCCTGGCAGTCAGCTCAGTTGGTTAGAGCATGGTGCTGATAACACCAAGGTCACGAGTTTGATCCCCATATGGGCCACACCTGCATTGCAAGGCGTTGAACTAGATGGCCTTCAGGGTGCTTTCCAACTCCAGAATTATTTTCTATGATTCTATGTACCAGAACAGAACATGAAAATAAACTGAAGCAACTTTCTTGCCCCTAAAGGACCAGTCAAAATAACGATATAGGTCTGCAAGGGAGAACTTCACATACTACGTGGCTGAATTCTGCCCTGGCGACCCAGTGTGGCACTCTGGCTAGAGAGCGCTGGCCTACCCTTCAGAGGGAGAGACCCAGGTTCAAATACCCCCTCGGCTTCATTGTGTGGCTTTGGGCAAATTAAATTCAGACAATCAGATGCAAAAGAGGACAGCACTCCTGCGCCTTTAATAGTGATGTGTAACAGTGAGAATTTCAGCAGCTGTAACTTGCATGCCACTTGCATGAAATTCCCCCATGACTTCTGTCTTCTACATCACTATGACAGGTGCAGGAGGCTTGTCCTCTGGTGTATCTGCACCTCTTCCATGGGAACTTAAGTCTTCTCACAGGGGTGGCCAGGGGCAGATTTTGATACAATGGCACTAGGCCAATTTTTTGCCCCTGTCCTTGCTGAGCTTTGAGAAGGAGATGCATGGGCCCTGGTAGGGTCTAGCCCCTTCTGTCATTCTTAGCGATATCTATCCCAGGTGAGGCCTTGGCCTGCCCTCCCTTCCATACTCCAGATATCAGCTAAATTGTATCCCTTTATTAATTTCTAACATTCATTAACTCTAGCAGTCAGGGGGGCTCTTGCACCCCCAAACTCTGTTACCTCAGATGTGTAACAATACTCACCTTTTCATCAGTTAGGGATGCAGTATAAAGACCCATTAATACTTTGCTAGGAGAATGCATGGTTCTGAAGTGATCAGGAATAAGGAAATGATTTCAGCTCTCGTTTGTTGTCATTCTCTATAGTCTTTGAAGTGCAGCTTAGAAAACATACGCACAGAGGCACACAGGCACTGACTTTACAGAGTTGTCTTCCTTCAAGTCCACCCGTTAGGGCTTCCCTGCTTAATCTATCAGAGTGCTCTTTCCCTGAAGATTCTCTGCCCAATTTAGGTGCAGCCAGCCCATAGCCTTCACTATAATCTTCCTACTAGCTGCAACCCACAGTTTCTGCTTTGCAAATGTTATACCCATTAGAGTAAAGGTGAAAAGAGTTCAGGGAGAAATGAATGCTATATAGAACCAGCAGAGATTTGTGTGTGTGTTTCTCAAACATTTGAATGTTTAATGCTTAAAGGGGGGGAAAAAGTTTCTCTGTCATCTTTCAACCTCTCATACCCTCATTCTTTGAAAGTTTCAGGAATGACTTCATTTATATCCACAATCAAATTCCTGCCTCTGAAGGGCATGTAGTTGTGAATTGCCCAGCTTATTTTTCTTTTTAGCGCTTGGCAATAGGGAAAACTGGTTGGTTCAAAATGAGAACCAGCTGGGTTCTCATAGCTATCATTTAGGGCATTGGGGGGGGGGGGGAGAAGCCACTTTGCACACAAAAACCAAAGCTCAGGTTTGTCATTAACTAAAACCCTAAATAGGCAGTGTTTGGTTTACCGCACTTCAGAATACAATGCCAGGAACCATTCTGTCAATCTAATTAATGTGCATCGTTAATGTTGCTCCTGCCAGACTTTAATTCAAGACTAACCGCTATCTAGATTTCGTTGTTATAAAGAAGCTTTTCCACCAGGAGGTGTTTTCCTTCTCTTCCCCCTCCCTCCCCTCCCCGGCAATGTAGACATTAAAATAGAACATACAGAATGAGTGCTGTACCTGTCATGCAACGTGCAGATAAAAGAAAAGCTGCTGAAACAGGTTAATACCATGCATGGAAAGGTATCTCTCTGGTTTCCCCCCCTTTTTTTATTAAAAAAAACCCATTTAGGCAAAATACAAATGTGATCTATTGGGGACACAGTCTCCCAGTCTTTCTGGATTAGACAAACTGGGTGTTCGTCACATTTTATCAATCAATGCTGGTGCCAAATTTAATTTAAAATGAGGGTCATATCTTCAGTCAGAAGTTATGTAAAGCAGAAACCTTCATTGTTTTTTCTTTCTTTAAATATAACAATGTAAGGTATGTTCATATTTAGGTTTAGTTATGAGGATTTAAATCTGTTTGTTTGGCCACTGAATGTATGTAAAATGTCCCCTTTAGGAAAAGAGAGGAGTTTCCTATTTACATTTTAAATTTGATATGCAAGTCTAGCGTTGTGCTTAAAACAAAAAAGGATGGGTTCTTGAATTCGTGTGTGAGAAAGTGTTTAAAGCTAAATTAATTATTGTTTTTTAAAGTGAAGATTTATAGGAGAAAGGATATTTTAAAAAGAGACCTTCTGTGTGTCTTTCACAAGAAAACTTGTAGCAGCAAAATGATGGATTGCTCAGCTTTGCACAACTAATTTGAAAAGCCTTAATGTATTTTTTAAAAAACCCCTCCCCCTGATGCCTGGAATATAACATGTTTCTGACACTATTAATAACCTGCTCAAGCACAACTGAAGTATTTTTAAACAAGGTTGAAACCATTTAGCACTGTACATATTCAGATCATTATTTGACCTGAATATTCTGACATATAAACCTTTCTGAGAATTACATGTTGAAACAAATATTTTTTTTAAAAAAACACCTAATGACTAAGATTTTTAGAGTTCTTTTCTCTCTATCTCTTTCTCTGGGTGATGCATTTATTTAATGTTTCAATTTGTTACCATACTATATTAGCTGTCTGTACATTTTTTAAAAAGCTGTTTCCCCCCTCCCATTTTTTTTTTAAGCTGGTATATTTCTAGTCATTCAAATTTGGACAGAATTTTACTTCCTGTTTCAAAGGTCAAGGAAAGCTGACCTCAACAGCAGTGCAGAGACTGCTGAATTATTCATATCATTGACTTTGTGTCAGCTTCCACATTTGTGCAGAGGGATGTTTTATTCATTTATCTCATTTAGGGTCCTTCTCTGCACCTGTTTCTACCATTAAGTACCCTGTAATTTGCATTTGATGCTAATTTAGTTTCATATCAGCCTGGTCCCCCCTTGTTAATTTAATTTTCTAAGACCCTTTTCATTATACCAGAAATGTTTCCCTCTTTAAAGCAAACATCTATACAAGTAATTGTATAAACTGCCTTTTAAATAATATCTTTTAGAAGATTCCTTCGTTTAATTCCTTAATTCCTATAATTAGCCATGGTTTGATTAATGTTTCAAAGGGTTAAATTAAAATGCAAAGTTACTTGAATGCACACTTGAATAATTTTATCTGCAGTCTGTAACAGTTTCTGCATTGCTGCCTTTTATTCCACTTGTGGTTTTGAAAATTATATGTGTTAACAAGTCTTGATTCCTTATTTGGTGACTTTATTTTTTTGTCAACTGTTTATAAAAAGTATAAACACTGGGAAAGAAGCACTGATAATCTAACACTTGGGTTTGCTTGTTTTTATTCTAGTAGGTTGGAAATGGTGTGAAGGAGAGTTGGTATGAGGGGAATCCTAACCCAGAAAAGCAATGATACCCATTCTGTCTTCCTCCTACATTTATTTAAAATACCCACAGTGATTTTATTTCTCACAGAAGGAGAAGTAAATATCATTACTGTGCTCTGTCAAACAATCTGATCTGGCATAGTTACTTCAAAGTTATCACTTCACTATGCAAGCTCTCTCTCTCTCTCTCTCTCTCTCTCTCTCTCTGTGTGTGTGTGTGTGTCTGTGTGTGTGTGTCTGTGTCTGTGTCTGTGTGTGTGTGTTGTCTCCTTCCTTTCTATATGTTGATGACAATGAGTGTTTTATACATACTTTATACATACATACTAAATAAAAATAACTTTTTTTGCTTCTTAAGTAGCTAGTAGGATTTCTTAATTCATTAACTATATTGCAGCATTTTTGAACAAATTTAGGAAAGTTGAGTAATTTTGCTCTTTCTCTGGGGTTTTTATTTATTTATTTTCAAACCGTGCTATTGTTGGAACAGTGGGACAGGCTGCATGTTATGTTAATCTCACTGTAATTTAATTATTCAGTGCTGGAGTTTTGAGCCACCACTTCTACTTTTATTAATGTATGATTAAATGTAGCGAAGAGTTTTGTTTTGTATACATGTAAGTTTCAGCCCCCTCCCATTAGCAGAATAGCCCTGAAGACACTGTAAAAGGAGCAGCGCAAGAAAGAGAGGAAAATGAAAGGAGCAGGGGGTGGCCTGTTAACAGCTGGACTTCACTTCACCAGTGAAACCTGGGTCTGCATTCAGAAATAAAAACAACAATTTTGCAGTCCTTTGCTTTCCCCCCTTCAAATGACAAATCGGTTCAGTTTGGCTTTCGTTTCCCAGCCCAGCCCCAAACTTTAATTTCTGCCTAAATCCCAGGGTTGTAGCCAACAAAGTTCTACTCAGAGTAGACCCATTGAAATCAATGGACCTAAGTTAGGCATGCCCATTAATCTAAATGCATCTCCTCTGAGCAGAACTAATATTGGATCCAACCCTTTGTAAACCATAAGTAAAAATGCACAGTATTTTGCAGCTGTACACAAAGTGCTTCCATATCTCAGGAATTAAGCAGCCATTTCTGCCTGTGTGCCCACAGATTCAAGACTTAGCAGAGAGAACAATGGTTTGCCCATGAAAGTCCTTTGCTATGTTCGATCCTTAGGGCATCATGCATGTACAAAGAGAGGGACTTCTCTGTGTTGGCACCCAGACTGTGAAAATTCCCTCCCGAGGGAGATATGGCAGTCATGAACACTTTATTAGTTTCGACACCAGCTTAAACTCATTTTATTTTCCCAGTCATTTTATATTATGACATTTTGCAGCTGGCTGAATGGTTTTATTCCTCTTAATTTGATGGTATTCTTGGTGATGTTTCATATGTAATTTTAAACTTTGTATACCACCCAGGACCCGTTTTTGGTTATAGGTGGTTTATTTTATATATGAAATGAGTACATGAATAAATAAATTGAGATGTGGAGATGTTGGATTGCAACTCTCATTAATCCTTACCATTGGTCAAGGTGGTTGGGACTGATGGGAGCTCAGGTTGTGATATCACCACACTGCAGGATCCCTGTGCTTTCTCTGCTGTGGATGCCAAATTGGTTTCCTGCTTTAAAAAAAAGCAGAGAAAATTTCAAGAAAGCTTCTACCCTCATCTCCAGCTGTAGTGCAGTTCTTACTGTTTTTACTATAATGCTGTGGAAGAAAATGTGTTTTGATTTATGAAAAAAATATCCATGCTAATATGTTTCTTTAGCTAAAACAGGTTGTTTCATTGAGGGAGAAATGAATCAACTCTAGATATGCATTCGTAAAACCCAATCCTACAATCGGTCTAAGGTAAAGGTAAAGGTACCCCTGCCCATACGGGCCAGTCTTGCCAGACTCTAGGGTTGTGCGCTCATCTCACTCTATAGGCCGGGAGCCAGCGCTGTCCGCAGACACTTCTGGGTCACGTGGCCAGCGTGACAAGCTGCATCTGGCGAGCCAGCGCAGCACACGGAACGCCGTTTACCTTCCCACTGGTAAGCGGTCCCTATTTATCTACTTGCACCCAGAGGTGCTTTCGAACTGCTAGGTTGGCAGGCGCTGGGACCGAACGACAGGAGCGCACCCCGCCGCGGGGATTCGAACCGCCGACCATGTGATCGGCAAGTCCTAGGCGCTGAGGTTTTACCCACAGCGCCACCCGCGCCCCTCACAATTGGTCTACTTGGAAGTAAATCTCACTGATTTCAGTGGGAGTTACTCCCTTGTAAGCGTACTCCAGGATTTTTGCCTTGGGGGGGGGTATAAACAGTTTGTGCTTTTAAGGATTTCTGGTTATCACCAGTCTTGTGATATAGGAGGATATAGTCAAGATTTTCCTTTTCAGATCAGGGGCTGAGTCAAGGCTCTGCTTTGGACTGCACAACTTGCAAATGTTATAGAAAGTGATATCTGAATCAATTGTGTAATCTAGTGAGGAATACCAGAAAAGACATTGATTGGAATACCATAATTTCTGGCGATAGTGCTGTGCTTGCCAGCACAGGATTGGGCTGAGGCAGTGAGGTTGGACGAGTTTTGGGTTGGTGGCAGGGGTGAGGCTGCATTTGTGTGTACACCTGTGGGGTGACATGCCACCAAGCCAGTAGTCTCCCAGGCTTGCCACCACACCACCCTGTCCTGGTAAGTGCAGCACCACTGCGAAGGCACTGCTCTGCCCGACCTCATTCACCACTGCTAGTAGAGTTGGATGCTCTCATGTTGCATTTCAATTGGAGCTGATAGATACAAATTATAATTTGTTTTCATCCAATTAAGTCAGACTCTCATAAGTTTATTTTTCTTTTAGCATTATAGTTCGATGTTTCTCAAAATGGCACAGTTGATTCCAGAGCAGGGAGGGACCTTGGAAGTTGGGAAGAAGGCACAGGGGTAGGACTTGATTGGCCTCCCCCCCCCTCCCTTTATGGAAATAGATGTCTTTATTACAGTACAATGTAATGATGAAGAAAATAAAGGTGACTGAGGAGAACTCCTCGAAGGTGTTAATGGATGTAAACAGGAACCAACCTGTGCAGCCTTTTGGTGGTGCTACTATTATTATAATTTTTTATTATTTATTTATTTGGCAGAGAGTATGTTGTATGAGCAAGGACAAAACAGACATAAGAATTTGATATTGTAGTTTCTGGCTAGGTGAGTAGAATAGTAGTGGGGCTCCCTATCTGGTTGAATGGGTTGGTCAGGTTTTCATCAACTGCATAGAAGGATGGCAAGTTCATTGTGGTCTGACAACTCCTGAAGTGTGTCCTGATCAACATTTCAGATGTGAGCATCCAAGAGTAGGATTTTGGTTTGTTTTATAATGAACTCTGATCCCACTTATGAGTCAAGGCCTCAATCCAAATAAAGTTGCTCATGATGAGTCTCATGAAAATCAGTGGAACAAAGTATTCCCAACTAAAGTTGTGCTTTTTAAAAACTAAGTTAAGAAATTATTAAGCTTAGCTGGATCGTGACTTATTTGTTTCACCAACCGAATTTGGCATTCCTGTCCTTTCCATTGTAATTTTATTGTTCTTTATCATATTTATTAGACAGTTCTCTATTGAAAAACGCTCAAAAGGGCAAAAGTAAAATGGCTTTATACAAAATCATTTCAGCTTCAGAATATGGATTAAAAAGTATTTAGTTATGTATAATGTACAAATGGACTGTAGTTCATATTGATATCTGTATCATTTTGGCAATATAGGTGATCTTGGCATCTCTGATTTTCTCCTTTCCATATATGGAGTTTTAATGGGAATGACTGCAGAGTTGGGCTCTGCATTAGGAAATATCCTGAAAAATGAACTCGTCATTGAGAGATGGTTCAAGCAGTTGATTGGACTAATGTAGAGAGAACTAAGTGCCAAGTGCATTAAACATGAAACCCTATCAGCCTTAAACATTGTCAACAAAAATCCATACACATATTACTTTTCTCTCATTTTTGTCTTACATTCACAATGATGACCTCAGCACAGGGCATTTCCTGAGTATTAATGACCATTCAGAGTTAATGGCCCTCGGTTTTGCCTCGAGACATCAGCTCCTCCTAACTGGTCATTAATTCCCAGGAAATGCCCCATGCCGAGGTCATTATTGCTTAATTATCTCCATACACTTTAATGCCAGTTTTGACAATGTACAGTCTTGTGCCATGAGTTATGTGTCTTTTACAGTTCGTTTAATAGCTCATCATTAAAACTGCAGATGATCTTGATTATTATTTATTAATGTTTTCCTTTATTATTATTTTTGTGGTGTGTCCATACATGTCTTACGCAAGGGAGTAAGATGTGCTGCCTGGTTCTAAAATGTGCCAGAAGCAATGTCGTGGGCATGGTTTCTAGATAGAGACAGAATTTGGGAGGCATTATGGGGAAGAAAGTAAAATAAAACACCCTTCAAGCATTTGTCGCTTCAGGCTTGTAGTACAAATCGGTGTGCTCGAAATAAAATTGCCAAGCAATTCATTCACAGGATCCTCAATGGCCGGTAAAGTTTGTCGAAAGAGAAATGAGGATCAGGCAAAATCTCTACAAAGTTTCCTGGGTGTTTTGTAGTCTTGAGGTAGGAAGTAGTATTGAGGTGCTGTTGATCATTTCATTCTCAAGTGCCTGTGAGACTAAGCAACTGAGTGAGAAGGAAAGGCGGCCCCAGAGAGTATTTCATTCAGAGCAAAATGACAGACCGAGGACTTCTTTGTACAAGATCAATTTTTTGTCATGCAAGTCACTTCCATGTATGCAGTTGCCTGAATGTTACATGCAGTTAGATCACTGGCAACTGCACACATTGACTACACACAACTGGAAGCTAATGCACATCAGTGTAGTGAAGTAAACATGCAGGAAGTATCCTAGGAGAAATGAGCTCTGTGCATGAAAAGTTGTCTTGTGTGAGAAAGAGATGTAGAAGCAGAGAAAGGTGTTTCATGCTAAAGATCAAAGTGGTATGTCAAAGCATCCTGGCCATATCACAACAGCAAACTATGCCATCATTGTGAAATGTGCTGAGTCAAACTCTTACCCCTGCTGAAGTGCTATTGACTGTAATTTGGCATTGGAGATTGCAAGAAGGAAAACTGTCTCCAAATCTGGCAAGAAAATGCATTGGAAGAGATGGAGCCAGAGGAATATGTTGTGGGAGAGTGTACTGGCTCTGATGAATGGAAGGAACCTTTCCATTCATGTAGCAGCAGATCTGGATCCAACGTGTTGTCTAACTCACCATCCATATGAACAGTAATGTGTAATAATATATCTGACTGGGTAGGGGAGAGATTCTGCATACCTCTGGAAGGGGCCACATAGAATTATATCATGAGCTGTATTCTATAACTAGTTTGCATATTTTAGAATTGATTAATTAGATATTTGAATTAAATAATTACAATTTGAACAGACATGGAATCTCCTTATAATTATCTGTTAGTTGTGAGAAACCAGTAGCAGACCATCTTGATAAGTGACTGTAGGTAGAATGGAGACTTTATTTCTTTATTTGATTTCTGTCCTGTCTTTGCTTGAGCAGCTCAAGTGGTGGCATACCTGTTTTCTCCCCTCTCCATTTTATCCTCACAACAACCCTGTGAGTTAGGTTAGGCTAAGAGACACTGACTGGCCCAAGGTCACCTGATGAGCTTCATGATATTGGGGATTTGAACCCTGGTCTCCCAGGTCCAAGTCCAGCATTCTACGTACTGAAACCGCAGAACTGGCAAGGCAAACTGAGAAAACAAAACATTGAACTGTTTTGCATGTGATGCCAAACTAAACCATGGCTAAGCGTGAGCAATAAACCCCTACCCTGGTCCTCCTGTTGATGCTCCTTGGAGTTAACTTAGCATTATGTCCAAACCTGTGCTCGTGGCTTTTCTCATTCCAGACAAATCATGATCTGTAGCCAAGGTTCATTTGGCTTTTGGTTTATCAGGCATAGGCAAACCATGAACCCAGGTTCAGACGTATCACTGGACCATAGCTGTCAACGTTTTCCCTTTTTAAAGGGAAATTCCCATTATTCCAAATAGGATTCCTCGCAAGAAAAGGGAAAAGTTGACAGCTATGCACTGGACCAAACCATGGCTCCAGGTAATGTGGCATCATCCTAGAGACTCTTCAGCATCTGAGTATTCAGGTAGAGAAAGAAGTGTGTCTCATCATTTTCCATGGTCCATTAGTGACAAGGCATAATTTTTGCCAGGACTTGGTCTATCTTAAACATCACTTGCTAGAAAGTTAAGCATGCCTAGCACTGAATATTTCACCAGCGAATGTGTTTCCAAACTGAATTAACCTCTTAATCATACTTACTGATCTCAGTTGTTGTGTTTTTCTTAAAGGAGAGCCTGCTTTTATTTCAAAGAAAGCCATGGTGCCTCATTCTCATTTATGTGTAAGCCAATTTGCACCACTCCGGCAGCGTGAAGGGCTCTTGAAGTGGGAGTAAACATTATTTGCACCAACTTGGAGAGCTCTTTGTGCAACCTCCAGAAGCGGCATGGAGGGCTCTCAGCAGAGAATCATTGTGGTGAACGCCGTTCAAAAGAAACAAATAAAAAAAAAGCATATGGAAAATTAGAAATTAGCACATTTCTAGAAAGATTTTATTTTATTTTATTTTATTTATCAATGGTTGACTTGTTAGTAATCTGGGATAGGGGCTGGGAAGAAATTCTACAATAACACCTAAACGAAAAGTTGAGATAATTGTTTTTCAAGCCAAAAACCAATGATTCCTTTTTTCTTGTTTAAAGCGAGAGCTAAGATCCAGGACCAAGTTAAAGGAACCAAAGGTTACTGTACCGTGAATGAGTGCAGTGTGCAGAAGCTGGTATTGTAGAGAGAACTGAGGTTAGGATTTCGGCAGAAGCCCTGAAGAATCGGGGACTTGCTGGCCCTCCCCTCCCTTTCTACCTTCAGTCAGTAGTGGCATTGTAGCCTGCCATGAATCGGTTCTTAGATTGGTGTCTCCTTGCAATAAATCCTGACCATAGGACTGTGCTCAGGGTGGGCAGCGAGGCTCGGACAAGAAGGGGGCAGCCTCTGTGTTGTGGTGTCGTTAGCGACATGTAGCAGAAGTTCTCGCTGAACGGAAAAGCTCTGGCTCCAGAGTGTCGCCAGTGAAAGTAGAAACATAAGTCGCACACGGGGGTGAGAAGGAGAGATCATTGCCTCAACTATAGGGATTCACTCTGGAGGTGGAGGCAGGATGATTTGGGACACTGGGTGTTTGTTTGGAGATTTAAAGGAAAGGGAGAGCAGGGGTCAGGAAAACCTCTTTCGGAGCCTAGCAAACGATTAAAGCCTTGTGATTTAAAGAAACAGCAACCCACGCTATGTGTAGATTTTCTTTTCAACCTGAAGACAAGATTTCTACACCCCCCCCCCACCTCCATTCTATTCTGCTATCTGTATTCATTTTTTATGATGGCCCCTTTAAGAGGCAAAAGCATGTCACTAGGTGTAAGGAACTTTTAACACTTTTTCATCTTTTCAGCATTTGTATAATTACTGTTAAGCCACATTGGAAAGCCTGGGGCCTAGTGATCACTAAGGTAGTGTTAGGTTTCATAAGCAAGGAGAAGGAGGGGGTGGGGGGAACCACTCTTGAACTTACTGCTCAGATAAATTGGCTGCAAAACCTGTGCCATATGCTGTAAGACCAACCAAATAATTATGCATAATAATAATAGGCAATAAAAGCAAAGCCAATCAGATTCTTATCATCTGGTGGCAACTTCTGACTTAAATCTGTTTTGTTCCACAGCATTAATACCCAGTAAATCATGTTGGTATGTTGCTTTTCACTTGAATGTAAAAGTGTGTATACATAAATGGTTTGTAGGGGAAACAGACTCTGCATTCGGTGGTGACTGCAACCACACCCCTCCTATAAAATGTAAGAGTGGGAGACACAAAACTCCAGGGATGAGAAATATATTCATCTAATGCAAGGCTGTTTTTGGATACCTTTTTCTTTTTGTTCGTTTGTTTTGTTTGCATCTTCTGTGAAACCAAAATGACACAGTTGGGCATAGTCAAAGAAGCATAAAAATAAGGAGAAATAAACAGGAGTGAAGAATAGCCCCAAATAAAAACAAAATATATATTTGAAAGCTGCTCATTAGAAGAGGGTCTCATCCAAATGATCAAAGTCCTGTGAAAGCAGCACAAGAAATTACCAAAAGAGAGCCAAGGTTTGGTTTGTTGATCTGAAATTGGGGCGAGTCAGATTTGGATTTAACGGCCAGTCTCTCTGTGACAGTGCATTGTGCCTCAGTTTTCTGACCTGTGAAATGGGATTATTACAGCATATGCACATCAGGATTTGAGATGATAACACATTTAAGATTAGGTACCCTTTACTAGGAAGACAGGAGTGCCTGGCATGCTCTGGTCCATGGGGTCACGAAGAGTCGGACATGACTAAACGACTAAACAACAACAACCGTTTACTAGCGAAAAGAAGAAAAAAGTTTGTTGCTCCAGCAAGTAGGAACTTAGGCTCGGTGGGCTGTTGATCTGGGGACCTAGAACAGACAGTACCCTGTCATTAGATGGACTGGTATCCAGCATGGTGTGAGTGGATTTTGCCTTCCTCTTCTGTTCCCTGCAGATCCCCAGAGATCCCTCTGCCAAATCTGCTCGAGAGGCTCCCCTGGTGAGCATGTGGTGAGGGGGGAGGGCTTCAGGGGGAAGAGAGGAAGGGAAGTCTTGTTCCACTAGCAGATAGGAAAAAAACGGATCTCATGTTTTAATTTATGTGAGAAAACTCAAGCAACATATCTTTTGAAGCAACCCCCCCCCCCTTGAGGCAGCATCTGTACCCATTACTCTCTGAACTGTGAGCACAATCAAACATTAAAATGCAGCATCTTGCAATACAATGAAAAATCTCCCACCATATTTGAAGAAATCCTGGAGTGTTTGGGCAGGGCATAAAGGCCTCACATCCTGCCATATAGGTTGGTGGTGGAGCAGGGCTGAGCTGCAATCTCGCAGAGGCTTTGAGGTCTGGAAGTGGCAGGCAGACAGCTCAGGAGATAGATGGCAATTAGGATTTAGAAGCAACCTGGGAGATAAGGAGCCACTGAGGATTTATTGTATATGTATGGACAGAAAGAAAAAGTCAGTGCATGGGGAGGAGACAAGGGAGGTGGAATACAGTAAATCTCCAGTGACTCCCATTTGCTGGCTGTTCCTGCATCCTAATAGCTGTCTCTGTGCAGGCCACAGAGGTCTATTGCTTTTTTTTGCTTTGACTCCAGGATGCCTTTTCCATTTTCTGCCCAGCCCTCCTTGCATCCTCTGGCCTATTTTCCTTCATTAGCTTCTTTTTTCCTCATGTCCAGAGCTGCCATTTACTTCCTCAGCTGTTCCTTGCTGATATGCACTTCTCCACGCATAGATCGGGAGCTGAGTTCCTCCTCATCACCCCTCATTCAAACACTGGAGTACAAAATAAGTATATGCATAAAGTCCCAGTTAAGGATGGGGTAATTGTGTTAAAATTTAAAAATAATAATAATACATGGACGTTGCGACCAAGACACAGTTGGGGCCTTTCTTATACTATATATGTGCCTTTCATAATGTGTTAGTAGTATGTATTGAACATGACCATCTGTATCTGAATACAAAACCTTAGAATGATGATGACACAGGAAATACAGTGGTACCTCGGGTTACATACGCTTCAGGTTACATACGCTTCAGGTTACAGACTCCACTAACCCAGAAATATTACCTCTGGTTAAGAACTTTGCTTCAGGATGAGAACAGGAATCGTGCAGCGGTGGCGCAACGGCAGCGGGAGGCCCCATTAGCTAAAGTGGTGCTTCAGGTTAAGAACAGTTTGAGGTTAAGAACAGACCTCCAGAACGAATTAAGTTCTTAACCCGAGGTACCACTGTATACAGAACAGGGTGGGCAGAATCAGCCTTGTTCCCATGAAGGGGAATCCTAAGAGCTGATTTTCAGTGGATGGTGGTATGGAAGGAAAGAGTTAAATCTCTTCTGCATGCACAGAGCTGCTGAGCCTGAGAACCCAGCACTACTATTTAAAGTCTTAAAAGAAGAAAAAGAAAAAGAAAAAGAATGGCAAAACAAGAAATTATGGGTTCCTTCAAGACTGTCACTATTTTGAGGGAGGGTTTCAAGCACACACAGGAACTTTAAGCTTGCAAAATTAAATTGTATTGTAAAGGGCTCTCCGGCCCTAAGCGCAACAAATCCACTTTAAAAAAGAACTGTCTTTCTTAGAAAATGTTGGGGGCAATGCCTTTAAAAGTGCGGGATAAACAAATGACTTAGGGGAAGCTGTACATGTAAGCACGCTACAAGCAAATCAGGATGAATGCTCATTATTGTAGAACCGCCCTGTAAACAAATAGGAATGTATGTTGAATACAGATCCGACAGAGTCTGACCACCATTGCATAAGCTCTGTGCAAGCAAATATGGATAAATGCTCAATAAATAGGCAATCTGGAATATTTAATATGACATAGGTTGGCATTAGTGTGCTTTGTATGAATGAACAATTGTACTGTTAATCTGACAGATATCAATGGGAAATCTGGTATATTTTTGCATAATTAGGGTTTAGGGAAGAGACCAGTTCCTTTTTGTTAAGCTGTTCCTCACTCCAATAGGAGCAGAGCTTGCAGGGGTTGTCCCTGACATCTTAATATTGCAGCTCCTTAGGTCTTTTCACAATCCAACAGCATCACATAGTACAGACCCAAGAGCTTTATAGTTTACCCTGTGAAGTATTGTCTGGGTAGAAATCCTAGCTGCTAGATGTCAGTACAGTGAAAGAAGAAAACTTTGCTTCAGGATGAGAACAGAAATCGTGCTCCGGCGGCGCAGCGGCAGCAGGAGGCCCCCTTAGATAAAGTGGTGCTTCAGGTTAAGAAAGGACCTCCGGAACGAATTAAGTACTTAACCTGAGGTACCCCTGTAACCAAAAAAAGCTTCCTTGGGATTCATTTGTGAGGAATAAGGTGAATAGAGCCTGGTATTTTTAATTACCGGTACGTTGTTGGAATTACTGTATCCGGATAGCTTCAGAGCGTTTTTAGAGCCCACCCCCAATTTGAACAGCAGACCCCTTTAAAGATTATATTATATTATATTATATACACTGCCCCATACTAGCAATCAAGTTCTGATGCACTCCAACTCTGGCTCATATGTTACTAATGCTTAATTGTAGTAAGTTTAGATCAACTAAATATTTTTCTTAAATGTATAATTGATTGTGTAGGGAAGGAAGAGCTGGAAGAATGGAAATCATACATCATTTCATTATTAATGGCAATGTCTAAATAAAATGCAGACCTTGTCATATTTAATGGATGGCTGAGTACATTCTGCTCCAAAACACAAGGCGTTCTTTTTTCAATTTTTTTTTTAAAGAAGTGCCTGAATAATTTTAACTGGATTGGGTGGGATTTAACATTGTTAGAGATGTGTACAAATTATTCTAGATGTAGAAACTTTGGGAGCAAAATAAATAAATACGGGGGAAGAGGATGAGGATCCGGCAATTGTAAAAACTGTATGTGTGCGTATGCGTGTGCAACTGTATAGACATAATAGTTAAAAAAAATTATCTCAGTAATATATGGAAAGAGACTTATTAAACAAACAGATAAAATTACATGCGTTGTGACTGTAGGTTTTGGTACCAGTCCACTTTTTTAAAGGGAAGTCAGGCGAACCGTTTGTGGAACAACTTTGAGCTTTTCAGCCTGGTGCGAAAAAAGTTGAAGAAGTAACTTAGCCTTGTGGTTCTGGTCTCCACTGAAGAATTAAACTACTGTACTCTGAGTGATTCTTGAGATTTACCGGTGTCAGGAAGGTTCTCGGTCATTGTATTCTTTATAGCACTACAGTTTCAGAGTTTAAATATTAGGGACATCGTGGAACAGTAGCATCTGTACCAGTAAATGCTGAGAAATTGGGTCATTCTGCAATTAGGGAAATTACTGCTCGAGAACGTTTATTCAGAAAAAAAGGCCTGCTCCTTGAAATTGTAGCATAGCCTTTAAAATAAGTAGCATGTGGCAGCTCTGCTGTGTGATCTCAATCCATGCTCGTCAAAGCATTTTCACGTAAGATCAGGAATATCAGTGGGGCCTGGCTGCCTCTTGAGAGTCTTTCTATGATTCATTTTTTCTAATCTTATTCAGCTGGTCCCACTAAGGGTAAGCTATCCAGGAAAAAGTTGTGTGCTAGCTTCCCTGTAGAATTACAGGGATTTGAAATCATGGTTAAATCCTATTGATATGATATGCATATTTATTAATAGTATTTATGTGCTGGTCAAAAATAACGCTAGGCTATATCTGGATTGGACTCCCATCCCCCCCCGCTCACATGTCTGTGATGATGTATGTGCTTCTACTATGATGTAGACTTTAAAATGTTAAGTGACGGGAAACACACTGATAGCTTGCTTCCCATTGCTTTCCTGCCCTAACTATGAGTATGCAAGGGAGCCCTTTACCAAAGGATTTCTCATTTCAAACCAACTTCTATAGTTAGTGAGGGTTAAATGGGGAATAGGGAAAGTAGGAAGCATGCGGACGCTTCATTTCATGCAAAGAGAGGCCAAACTGCTGTCCAAACAGGGTCAGAGATCCATGAAAACTGATCTAGGATTGCGATTTCACGCGTGGCTGTTAACAAGTGACTGCATACCCTCCAACATTTCTCTGATGAAAATAGGGATGTCCTAAGAAAAAAGGGGGACATTCTGGGATCAAATTAGAACCTGGGACGGTTTCTGTAAATCCAGAATTGTCCCTGGAAAATAGGGCCTTTTGGAGGGCCTGCGACTGTTACAAAAGTTTCAGTGCAAAATAGGCACCTAATTTCACTGTTAGGTGAAACCTAAGCATACCCAGTACTGCAAAAGGCTGCAATCCTGAACCCACTTACCCAAAAGTAACCCCCACTGAACTTGGCGAGACTTATCTCTGTTGTGTAAACATGCACAGACTTGTGCTGTTAGAGTTATTGCTTCTCATAGTGGTTTCTAAGTATTTAATATAAATACTAATAAATGTTATGGTATAAATTCCCTGATAATAAATGTTATGGTATAAATTCCCTGAGCCTCAAAGAACAAAATGAGAGTAATTGTGTAAAGTATTGGTGTGATTCTCCCCCCCCCCCAAAGATCTGTGGCCTCAAGGCCCATGGAAGAACTGCCAAAGATAAGTGCCAATCTGCCTAGTTAGCCTTTTTTAAGGGGAAGGTAGGTTGTGACCAATGCTGCCATTTCAATGTCTGCTTGCATAGTGAAATGTCCCCTTCCCTTCATTCCTTTCTGCTCAAAATCTGCTCCAAAAAGTTTGGAGCCCCTCCTGAGCAGTATTTAGGAGGCAGGTGGTGGGAGGAGAGGAAAGGGAAATCGCAGTCTGTGAAAATGGAATTCCGGAACTGGATACAAGCTTCTACCTCGGGTTGCAAACGCTTCAGGTTACGAACTCCGCTAACCCGGAAGTAGTTGCTCCGGGCTGCAAACTTTGCCCCAGGATGAGAACGGAAATCTCGCACCGGCGGCACAGCGGGAGGCCCCATTAGCAAAAGTGCGCCTCAGGTTAAGAACGGCTTTGGGTTAAGAACGGACCTCCGGAACGAATTAAGTTCATAACCAGAGGTACCACTGTAATTAGTATGCACACATTCTGCTTTGTCATGGAGCTCATGGTGCTGCCCCATCTAGCTTGCAGAATAAGTGCACCCCCACTTACCTTCAGCAGTGCTAAAGTGTTTGAAGTTCCCACATCATCCACTGGGCCTGGGGCTGCAGTATTTGCCAGGGATTTGCTCTGCCTCCCACTCCCCGCTGTAGTATTTGTTACAGCATTGATTCATTCCTGATCTAGACTTTAGGAGTTTTTAGATCTTTATTCTGGAGAACAGCATTTCATCTCATCATAAAATCTTTAATGTACGGCAAATATGCTCGTCTTTTTAAAGCTTTCAACTCAATCCTTTGATGTTCCTTTTAGAAAGTTAACTAATACATCACAATGGCCTCCTCAAATGAGTGCTCTTGGAGAGAAAAAATGTTGCTCTACAATGTTAAGAAGGAAAACACAAATAAAGGTACTCAAATATTTATAAAAGCATTCAGTAGATCAAAACGGTTCATTATGCCTTTAGACACTTCTCTTCATGACTGAGGAGTTACACCCCATCCTATTTATGCCATGTAGCATTTTCTTTTGTTGTTTCTTTAATTTGCAGCATCTAATCAATAAGTTTCTTAAATTTAGACATATTTATGGAAATATGTTCTATATTCAAAGTGGGACACTTCAGAGAGCAGTACTTTTGGGACAGACTTGGGTATAAATGTCTATTTGGTGTTGGATTTACTGGGTCAATGTGGTGTTTTATTTAGTGCTATTTTTCTAGAAAAAGAGGAGCCAGAACCCACCATGAACGCCTCCCTTGTCCTCTTATAATGGCAATGGCACCCACTTGAGAGGTGCCAGAATTGAGTTCCAGCGAATTCCAGCTGAAAAAAAAGCCCTGGTTTTATGGCTTCTCAGCCTCAGTTCACCATCTTTAAAATGTGAAAAGTATACAAGTCTCCTTCACATGGTTGTTGTGAAAAGAGGCCAGATAAATATTCTATAGCACTTTTTAAGGACACTGAAAACAATATCCTTAAAAAAGAAAAGAAAGAAAGAAAGAAAAGAGAGAGAGAAAGAGAAATATGAATGAATGAATGAATGAGATGTCATGCTTGGGACACTACCAGTGGACTGTCCGGGTATGGTGCTCAGGTTGTCATCAGGAGCTATTGTCTTTATCTGGAGCAATAGGAGTAATTTATGTTGCCTCTGTGCTGCTATATAGGTGTTCCTTCACTGTGATTGGCAGCCAGCAGTCACTGACAGTCAGCTAAGATGGGACATAGAGCTACTGCTGCTGAGCGTGGAAACAGGAAGGGGAGCGTTACATCCCAATAGAGGCAGCTAAGGCAAGGAGCAGCTCTTGCTGCATCAAGCAGGTGCTCTGCTGGCCAAATAAATAATTTGTCTACATGCAACACTGCTAGTCATTCACTAGCGATGTGCCAGAACAGTGTGGCTTGAGTGAGTGGTTGCCTGCCTCTGCTCCCTCCAACAGATGCCCCCTGCTTTCTCCCCCACCTCAGTGGCTGTCTGGCAGTGATAATACCTAAACTCACCAATCCTATGGGATGGACAGGCCATGTGGGATGTTGCATTAGTGCCATCCTACCCAGGAAGCTACAGGGCTGGCGCAGTCATGTTGAATGTGCTCCATACCCTCCATATTTCATGGGAGATGTGTTTTCATAAGAACTCACTTCCTAAGTGTGCCACCCAGTATACGAGGCTTCTGTGAAACCAGTTCAAAGATAGGAAGACAGCACAAGCTCTTGGGACTGCAGCATTTATTTATTTTTTAAAAACCAGCAACACCCATGACTTATGACATTTATTATGGTGCCTAAACAGGAGCTGAGCGCTTCAGGAAATCTGACCTCCCATGACCGCATCACATTACTCTCAGTGCTGTCCCTCTGCATGAAATTGGGGCTGTGTGCTTGTTTCCTCCCTGAAAAGTTTTGTGGAAATGTAAAATGCAGTCTGACACCTGTCAGTTTTTTCTTCCCCTGAAAGAAAGAAGCTTTGTGCCATATACTGTGGGTGTTTTGGCAGGGAGCAAACAGTTGTGACTAGCCACTGCGCAAGAAGGTCAGACATGGAAGAGACCTAGGATAATTGCTAGTTCTGCCAGCATAGTTCAAACCACATGCCACCCAGGGAGGAACAGGAGCCATGGAATTATGGGAAGAGTCCTCACATTGCACACTCTTTGGGCAAGGTCTACATCTGTGTATCAGTCACAGAGGCAATCACACACACACACACACACACACACACACACACGTTTCATCAATCAGAATCCAACATTGCAAAACTTAAACAAGTGATAATGCTGCCTCTTGATGCAAACTCCTGCTTGTTTTATGGCAGCTCCTGTTTCTTTGTTGTGTCTCATCTTGCGCTAAGGCCTCACTCTGTTGAGTTCAGATGGGCTTCCTTGGATTGTAAGGGCTTGCTTAGATACACTGAACTCTTATGCTCTGTTTGGGAGAAACTACAGGGGCTTGGAAATAATGCTTTATAAAAGGGAAGGATACAGTGCAGATTCCAAATGGAGAACTGTAAGAGCCCTCTAGGGGGCTTCTGAACTAACCAGGGTCAATGGCGTTTTCATGCCAGACTGGTATATGAGGTCCTTTTGCTTTTCCCTACGCATTTACTGCCAGTTGACACTTTGGTTAATTCAGCCACTAATTTGATGGCCTTAGCCCCCTCTTAATTTGGCATCTGTAAAATGGGAGTAATTTTAACCAAGCTTGGGGTATGTGTGTGTTAGAGGACAAACAAGCTGATGTTTATGAAGCATGTTAATGCATTAGGTACCCCTGCCCGTACGGGCCAGTTGTGTCCGACTCTAGGGTTGTGCGCCCATCTCACTTAAGAGGCCGGGGGCCAGCGCTGTTCGGAGACACTTCCAGGTCACGTGGCCAGCGTGACGAAGCTGCTCTGGCGAGCCAGCACCAGCGCAGCACACGGAAACGCCGTTCACCTTCCCGCTATAAAGCGGTACCTATTTATCTACTTGCACTTAAGGGTGCTTTCAAACTGCTAGGTGGGCAGGAGCTGGGACCGAAAGACGGGAGCTCACTCCGCCGCGGGGATTCGAACCGCCGACCATACGATCGGCAAGTCCTAGGCACTGAGGTTTTACCCACAGCGCCACCCGTGTGTAATGTTAATGCATTACAACTGCTGAATAAATGAGGACAGTAATGGCCACCAACGTATGTGGGACTGACATGGGTTAGATGGTTGGTAATTTTTCTTGGGCCATTGCTGTAGGAATTCTTGCATAGTATGTGGCCTTTAAATGCTCTTTTGATGATGTGGACTGAGAGCCTGTAGTGTCAATGCAAGAGGAGCTATCATACAAGATTATTTAAAGGCACACAACTCTTCACGAGAATAAGCATTCATGCATTAAATTAGCCATACTACCAGTGCTATTTTTATGGGGGTATGCAGGGGTACACATACCACTAAACATTTTGTGACCCTAAGTTTGGCTTCATTGAGGGACAGTATTTCAATATGAGTAGGAAAATGAGAGTACCCCTTAACATTTTTTTTAAGGAATGTTTGTTCTTAAATAACTCCTTTCTACTCAGGTGAAGGTGCAGTATTTCTGCACCCATTTTAAGCACCTAGTTGTCAATAAGGCAATATATTTTTTAATAACTGGGAAGGGGAAAGCTATGTATGTGACGATACTAATTCAGACAAGCTTCTTTTCTTTTGTTTGGCAGTTTGAATATAGCTTTAGTACTTGGGAAAAATCCTCTTCCAATTACACAGCAGTTTTGTGGTGGCAGAATGCTATAATGGGAATGCTTTTGCAGCCAAAGCTATCTCATTCATAAATCCTGCTGATCCACTCTATAATTTTGATTCTCTTTTGGATAGATCAGTATTCTGTGGTCATATCAGCAACAATCATGCAAGCAAAAATGAGTAGTTAAATATTGTGACAGTCCTATAAGTCTTCTTACGGTTTTGTGCATAACACAGTTATTCAAAAGTGTCATTTGGTATGTAGAAGGGAATTGACCCTTCACTAATATTTTCCAGTAAAGCTCTTCATAAAAAATGACTGGAGAAATAGCTATGTGAGAATTGGCTAGGTGTCCTTTCCATTAATTTTGCAGTAAATGCAAACTGCTGGGTCATGTTTAAGGGCAATTGAATGCATATTACAAACACACACACACACACACACACACACACACACACACACACACACACACACACACTCTGCATGTGAATATCCTATACACATACTTTATCCTTACATGTGTTCTTGCTTTGTATACTCTTATGGGAGTATTTCTAGCAACTGTGGGAGAAGTTCTAGCAACCCAAACAATATTTGTTGCAGGGTTTATTAGCATAACAAAATAAATAACATCCAGGCTGCATTCAGTACACATCATGAACTTCTTATACTTCGATTTTGGCAAAGTTTATCCAAATAACGATTTGACCCAGCTGTGAATGGGAGCACTGGGAGCCCAGGCAGTTCTAGGAATACAGTGGTACCTTGCAAGACGAATGCCTCGCAAGACAAAAAACTCGCTAGACGAAAGGGTTTTTAGTTTTTTGAGTTGCTTCGCAAGACGATTTTCCCTATGGGCTTGCTTCGCAAGACGGAAACGTCTTGCAAGTTTGTTTCCTTTTCTTAACACCGTTAATACAGTTGCGACTTGACTTCGAGGAGCAACTCATAGAACGTGGTGTGGTAGCCTTTTTTGAGGTTTTTAAAGACTTTGGTGATTTTTGAAGCTTTTCCAAAACTTTCCCAACACCGTGCTTCGCAAGACAAAAAAAATCGCAAGACGACAAAACTCGCGGAACGAATTAATTTTGTCTTGCGAGGCACCACTGTAATAGAATTAGAATTGGAAGGGACCCCTTAGGTCATCTAGCCCAACTCCCTGCAATGCAGGAATCTCAACTAGATCATACTTGACAGATGGCCATACAACTTCTGCTTAGAAACCTCCAAGGAAGGAGAGCCCACCACCTTCCAAAAGAGTCCGTTCCACTGTCAAACAGCTCTTCCTATCAGAAAGTTCTTCCCCATGATTAGTCAGAATCTCCTTTTTTGCAACCTCAAGCCATTGGTTCATATCCTACCCTCCAGAGCAGAAGAAAACAAGCTTGCCCCGTCCTCTGTGTGACAGCCCTTTAGATATTTGAAGTTGGCTATTGTATCTCTTCACACTCTCCTCTTTATCAGGCTAGACGTAACCTATTCCCTCAACTGTTCCTCATCAGGCTTGATGCTTTCCAGACCAGACACATTTCCCTATGTTTACATCACTGAATAACTCCTACAGTCCATGTCTATTGGTTGAGTGAGTGAATGGATGTATTTATTTATCATACAGGCCATATTGTATTCCATGTCAATCAAGGTAACACAGCACACACTGATTCAATGACTTTGTGAATGGACAGAATAAACTGATTATAAAGTTACAATCCCTTTGTCTAAAGAAATGTGATTTATGAATTATATATGTTAACCACTACTTCTAAAGAAGAACATGACTCCCTGCTTTCTGTTCTGTGAGCATCAAGGAATATGTCAACTACAGATGGGAAATTGGTTGGGATGGCCTAATAATGTTTGTGCTATAATAATATTTTCTTTCAAGGAGGCTTGATAGGTAGGCTGTGCTTCATGCTGAAGATTTAACTGAATGACTAATTTCCCCTCAGGTCAATTGAGCCAATGATATAAAGTTGTTGTTGTTTTTGCAATGTCTTGTTTTCTTTCCTGGCTGAGATGGAGATGCACCTTTTTAACTTTAACTCTTGTTATGCTTCTAGCTTTGATTTTATGACTAGCAAACTGATACCTATGTTTGTTTACTTGGAAGTAAGTTCTTTGTTCAGTGGAACCTTTCCCCCAGGAAATAAAGTTTAGGATTGCAGCTTAAATCTATGACAGGTGAAGAGTGAGGGGATTTGAATCGGTGATGTTATGGTGATCTCCAAGCTGGTTTTGTCTTAGTTGCACTTCAGTCCATTTTGCCCATTAAAAACTTACATAATTCCAGAATCTGAAGTTGCTTGGCAGAAGATGCAGCTTTCATTTGGGGTTTTTTAAAAAGTTGATCTTTACTATTTTCTCTTCATCCAAAAGCCTGCCAGAAGAGGTGTGTCTTCACCTGAGAAACACTATTTATAATAGTGTATATAGCTAGTAATATACTGAGTGTAATGAAGCATGCAAGTATGCACACAGATGCCATCAATATCAGAGTATTCAGGACACATGTAAATAAGAGTAATATTCACAGATATACAAAAAGGTGTTTCAGAATATGTTTCCTCAAAATTTCTGCCTACTGTAAATACACAGAGCACAGAAGCAAATAAGTGGATGCACTTTATGAACATTCCACCCTCCTGAAAAACACATCGCTTTGGGGGAAGTTTTTAAGGGAAACACATAAGGAGTTCCCTTTATGCAAAAATATGCCTGGACACATTTTATTTAGAAACTGAATTAATTAATTTAATAGAAAAAGGCCTGGGCACTGCATGAATGGAGTTCTGCTTGCACAAAGGCCCTTTCCCTTTGCCTTGTCCGCTGTGTCCCCCAACTCTCTGGAGGGTGGGCAATAGGCAAGAGGAGAAGAGGGGGAAGTTCCACAGCACAAGCAGAAGTCTGATGAGCAAGTGAAACAGTGGTGTTGGATACAATCCATGAAAAACAGGCGTACCACACAGTAACTTTGAACCCATTATTTCAATGCAACTCACAATAAATGCCTCTTCATCAAACTATTCATAAATTATGTCAGTTGCAGTTGACACCATCCAAAGACCCTGCTGGAAGAGGTGTGTCTTTGCATGAGAAATGCTTTAATAGTGTATGCAGTTCTGACTACCTTATCTTTAAAAAAATGGTTATTACAGAGCTGGGTTTGGTCAGTGAGCCTGAGCAAGAGAAAGGATCAGAGGTTAGGTTATGACTGAATAAAATCATCAATGCTTAAAATAAGAAAGCTGCTTTGAAAATGTTAAAAATGGCACTGAAGAAATAGAACATAGCTATTAAAGGCATTGTGCCATTGAATTGGCACAAAAAGAGTATTCCCCCCCCCACTGGAACATTTCCGCCCCCTCTCCAACCTGGGCACTTCTGGTTTTGTTGACACGGCAGTGTTTGCCCCTGAAAATTCTGGGGAACCCTAAGCAAGCCCTTTTGTTTTGGATACCAGAAGAAAACCCGAGTTCTAGATATGTACAAGTATATTTTGTACATCCTTATCCTTATGCAGAGCTTGGTCATCATCCATAAATTGACGCAGCAAGAGGTCTAGTTATCCATTAATAAGCAGCATGTGTAAGTCCCATTAGTGTCAATGAAAGCTGTACAGGCATATCAAAGGGGAGAACAGATTCATGTGCTGTGAGCAGGGTCCAAAATGGTGATTTATAGCCTGCATTGCATTTAATGGATGGTTCTTTGGCACAGAGCTTAAGAACTCTGTGGTGTTTAAAATACACTCCACTCTCCCCTCCTTGTTAATCAAGCGCAATGCTAAGGAGGGAAATGTTAGCAGATTTCTTATTGTATTAAAATGAAGGCATTGCTGGGCTCGTATTTTATTGCACTTCTGATTTCTCAGAAATGGTTTTTCTGTTGTTGTTGTTGTTGTTGTCTGTTGTTTTATATATTAAAAAAACAGGTCCATACAACTGGCAACTTCCAGAGGTGCAGAGGGGTAGGCACACTGTGTGGCCAGCAAGTGACCAAGCAAAGAAATGAAAGATTAAAGGAATTCTGAGAGATTTCCTGATAGGTCTCTGCCAGAGCTACTTCAGGAGGGATGGCGGGGGTGTGGGGGGTGTCCTCTTATAATCTGGATCAGAGCCATTTTCAGAGCTCCTTCCATGGATGCTGAGATGAGAGTGCTTTCAGAGCTTTACTCTGAGCTTTAGCAGATCTGTTGATTAAATATTTAAGCTTTTCCTTTTTCCCTGCCTCTAATTCAGCTGTCTGTGGATGAGAGCAGCAGTTTCTCAGCACCATGTAAAGCTGTCTCTCGCATTACGGTCCTGTAGTGCCTGAGAGCACCCAATTTTGGAGGACAGGAATTAGCCCTTGCCATGTGATCAGACAGGTGGAAGGTTTACAGGAGAGGTGCTCCAATATTTATAGCCCCCCACTAGATGACAAATAATATGGAATGGACATGACAAATGAGCCTGTTGTGCTCGCTATAACCATATCCTTTCTGTTGGCTTCACTTAGGTCAAATTTCCATTTTGCGACAATATCTCTATGGCTTGAAATATGATCTTTTGAATCTTGCCCTTTTACCACATTGTTGTTTTCCCTGTGTGCCTCCTTGTTTTCCATTCTTTTAAAGGAAAGAATCTAACTGCTTTCTGTTTTGCTCACATAGATAGCTACTGTGGTGGGCCTGGGGATTTTCCAAACCTGAAATTTCTTCTGTAATTCTCAGTTTACACCAGGGCACATGGATTGGCTACTTATGACTGCAAGGTGTTGTAAATGAAAATGACCATCAAGCTATAGATCTATAGATAATTGTAGATGAGTAGATGCTTATTTTTCCCATTTGAAGTCATTATCCCTTTTGGCTTTCCGTAAAATTTGGACAGAGACTCTCTAATATACCAGCAACATTTGTATCCCACCTTTCTATTCAGGGTGATGTGCATGGATTACCATTTTGCCTTAAGAAAATGCTGTGTGGTAGGGAGGTCAGGGAGAGGGATCTGGTTCATACAACACATGAAACCATAGTTAAAATAAACTATGGTGTAATGTGAATGAGCAGCATGCAGGTATGATCAGTGATTTGCTATTTTCCACTCCTGCAGCATGGAAGAAACAAGCCAGCACCTACATATGAACCCAGGTTTATGGTTGGTTTGTTTTTAAACAAATCATGAATGGACACCAAGGTTTGTTTTTGGAGGAAACAAACCACAAGTCCAGGTTGGCATGTAGCAATAAGCCAGACTCTGGCATGTTTCCTTCCTGGCATGGCTGCAGTATGAGCTGAGGACAGGCTTTTGAGGACTGTGTGCACTGGCAGGCTGCTCATTCATATGGAACCATAAACTATAATTTAATCTGACATGTACACTGGGCCAGTGGCTTGTCCAAAGCCATGGAGTGAACTTCATGGCTGAGTAGGGATTTGAACCCAGTACCAGAGCTGCAACATGCATACATAGCTCTTATCTGCAAAGACCAGCCCTTTCCTTTCCATGGAGGGGAGCAGGTCAGCCTGTGTCTAAATAAACAAACAAACAAATGCACTCATGGATCTGCTTCTACCACAAGGAATGGAACAGCCTTTGTTGGCATTGTGTCAAGCTGGTGCTCCTGTTGTCATAAGAAATGACTGAACTGAGATCTATGACAGTTTATGGAGAAATTGTTTAGTGGGAAGAATGCCTCACAAAAATAAATGTTGGTATAATTATGTAACAATGATGTAACATCATTTTTAATGTTTTGGCAGTCAGATGTTATAAAGGTAACCATGTTAGCTTGAATGCTCCTTATACACGATTAGCCACCACTTGAATAAGTATGATGAGTGTGTGTGAGAGGTTTAAATAGTGCAAACTCTGTTGAAACTTGATAGCAAACCAAAAAAGAGTCATGTTTACATGTAAAATGATTTTTTTTTTAAGAAGAAAACTACGCTTTTTAACATATGAAGGCAGTTTTACAGCCAAATTACTTTAGGTAACTGAATTTACCGCTTTTTTAAAAAAATAACCAATTCTGATAAAGGATGATGTTGAGATTTAAAATAAAAACGCATAAAACTTGAAACATCTTGCTTCCTGTGGCATTGTGTAGTAGGGGACATAAATGTACGCAGAAGCCTACAGCAGTTTTATTTTAACTAGTACAATATAACAGCATGACAACCTGTGCAAAATAAATAACTTTTGAAAATGCATTTTCTGAGAATGGAAATAATATTGAAACATGTACAGCTCTTGAGAGCAAAGGAGACAAATATAATAATTTGTGGCTTAATGCTTGGAGTCATAAATGTGCGAAAGGGTTTTCTGGAATTAAATGCATAATACTGGGTAGTAATGTTAGGGCTGGTTTCTGACAAGTTTCCATTTTGAGAATACCTTGCTTCTCTTGTGCAGTCAGTCAGTCAGTCACTTTAATATTGTGGGTATGACTGAGGTAAGAACTAGTTCTACTCAATAGAAAATAGTGTAGAAAAAGTGTAGGTAAAACATAGGATACATGGAAGAGGAAGGGTAAATTTCTTTTAAATGTTGAGAGATATATTGGATTCATACAGGCCCGCCTTCCGGGTAAGAAGAAAGTCAGAATACAACCCTGGGCTATATTCATTTGGTCCCCTTGCATTTTGATCTAGTGGAACATGTCTGCTAATGGAAGAGAGGAGGAGGCATTTTGAGCTGCTCTTTTTCCGTCTCCCAGAAGCTCCCAGCCTTACCCTGCCCAATCTTCTTTTGAAGGATCCCCCAAAGGGTGAAGCATATGATAGGCCAGAATCACCTCCTCTCCTCTTCCATTAGCAGCCTCTACTAGATCAACAGCTCAGCTGGATGCCACTCCTGAATCTCACATATTAAGAAACCCTAAGGAGAGCCATGCTGCCATCACCACATATTGACACAGTTACACAGTTCCTCTCTCCATTCTAGATTTTCCATGGCACCCTGGAAACATTTAGATAGCTGTATTGCACATATCTGTTTGCTTTAATCACCGTTGATGTTTTATGTGTTTAATATGGAATTCCTTACAATGGAACACTCCACAAATTGTTAACATAGCAGATGTCTGTGGTGCCGCCAGGTTTTCAAGGGAGTCTCCAAAGTGCCTGAAAGGAACCAGAACCGAGTGCGTAGATGTGAGAGCAAGGTATTGCTGTCTGTCAGCTTTGTCTCTCTGGAGCAAGCCTTTGTGTCTGGAATTTTGCCCGAAAATTAGAACAAAGGAAGACAGGACTCTCCTGCTAGGCTACCCTGGCAGCATTTGTATTGTATTGATCTTTTGCACTTGCTCTGGTGGGTTTGGCCCCAGAGGAAGTTGCATCGTGGTTGATCTTTGCTCAGGGGGAAATCACGTCTTCAAGTAGGCTTCATATGTACAGCGCCTCAACCTTCGCTGATTGGTTGGTTTATGTGGGGGGGAAATATATATAATCCACTTTAAGTTCACAATAATTCTCAAAGCGGAGAACAATGATAAGCCTTGTCATTGGCGCCACTGGGCCCTCTGGGTCCCATGGCTAGACCAATTAAATGGTCCCCAAAGTGCTTTATGTGGTTTACGTTGATTGTAATTTCCTGGTGGAAAATGCTATTAATCTTTAGTGGTCTCCTTTTACACTAGTAAGACAGTACTGCTAAGCATACTTACTGGGGGACGAAGTCTCACTGAAATCAGCGGGGCTTCCTTTCATGTAAACCTGGTGAGGATTGGACTGTTAAGCTTTATCTAGTGCCTGAAAACACATCCTTTCAAAGAGAGCCCTTTATTTGGTAAGGGACCCCTTTGTGTCATGTAAGATTTGCTAATCTTCAGATGTACTTGGAAATGCCCCCTTTCCAAGCAAAGTAGAATGCACTGAAGCCTGCAACAAAGGAATCTGCTCTGCTTCGTCTTGGCTGAACCTACCGAGCAAATCCTTAAGCTAACAGGCCTGTAGCCTCCTTGTTCCATCACTACTGTATGTGTAGAGCGCCATGCAGGCAAGATGGAGTTAATTCAATAAAATAAATATAAAATACTCTCTAGGCTGTCAGACGGAGCTGGAAGCAGGTCAGAGGTCACAGAGCTGCTTCATGAGCGCACTAATCGATTTGCTGTCAAGGTAGTGGTGCCGGGGTTTCAAGTAACAGGAGAATTGAGTGCCACTCGGGCCCAATTTCCATAATTGCTCACTGCCTTTAGTGTACAACCTTTTATGAAACACAAAAAATATATCACTGAATTGTATTGATTAGCCATTGGGTTGAATAATTCACTTAGTATTTATTACCTGACCCTCAGAGGTTAAATAAATCCACTATCTAACTTCAGCTTGTGAAAAATATTACTTATTCATTGAAATGTGGACTGATTATTACACAATAGGACCCTATCTCTGTTGTACTTTTCTTCAGTCTCTCTCCCCACCCCTCTCTCTCTTAAAGCAACTCCATCCTTTCATCCTTGCCACTCTATAATGGCAATGTTAAAAAGAAATATTTATTGATAGCCAGCAGCACTTTCTAAAAGAAATACAGTAAATCTACAATGAAATCATGTATTGTCTTCTGTTTGAAGTCCCCCCCATCCCCACTTTTTCTCTCTTTTTGCTTCACTTCCATGTTTCTAAATATTTGGATGAAATTTCAGGAAGACTGCCCCTGCAATTTAAAGACAGTGCTAAAAACGAGTTATAAACCAAAATTGTTTAGGAAAAACACAGCTTTATAATCATTCTCTTTCTTTTTTTTAATGATGGGACAGTATTCATTTTGGTAGTTCCTGAAAGGCATGAATCAGACTTCCTATCCTATTAAACATCCTCTGATAATTGAATTCCCAAAGAAAACAGAAACCTTTTCTAACATGAGAAGATAAAACCTAAACCAGTCAACCATGGACAGCTCACTGTCATTACAATAAAAATGATTTCCCTGTCACCTTAAAATGTTTTGGATGTAAACCGTAGGGCATTTTACAGCTTTAAACATTAAACCAATAATTAATTATTTTTATTTACATAATGCTTTTAGTATCTCTGAAGATGACATCTTTTTCTCTTTACCATAAAATGTACCTTATTCGCAGCCATCCCCCTCTCCAGATCTTATTATTTATCCAATTACCATCAAGTCACATCGTTTGGATGCAACTGTGAGGCAGTTGAAGTCTTCTCTCTAAAAAAGATTTCCTAACTTTGTGACAAGTCTTTCCTCAATTTCCGGACTGCATCCTCCAGCCCCCTCCAAGTATTGTTTTTGAAGTTTGATGGAATTTACGCTAGGTCAAGTGGAGGAAGCTGTGTGAAGCTTTTTCCCCTTAAAGTGTAAAGGAAAAACCTTATGTTTTTCTTTGTATTTGTTGATACTTGTGTGCGTCTGTATCCAGGATCTGGGCTTACAGTTAGCAGCCGTAAGAAACCTGTCCTCTTGGTGATATAATAAAATAACCTTCTTTTCCTGTATCACATAATGGAAGGAAAAGTCTGTCAGAAAACAGTGGGATGTAATATGCACAAAATTGCCTCAGGTTTGTTCAGGTGTCCAGCTTCCTGATTTCTGGGCCTGCAAGTGCTATAACATTTCACATTGTTTACCATTTCTATAGCACTTCTTATTATACAAACTGGTACTGAGCCAAAAGAGGGCATGATTCATGAATGTTTTTCTCTCCAATTAAACATGCCATTTTAAAAACTGATTTTGAGGAAAACACACGGAAAGGAGTAAAGGAAAAAGGAAAAAAAAAAGAGGTTCATTTCTGCAGTCACTTAAGTATGTCCTCCTGTGGGTGAATTTTCCCCATCGGTACTTTCCTCCTTGGCACTTTTAAACATCTCTTTGCAGCTCCAATTGCTCGCTGCTTGGGTGCCGTTGTTCTACAAAAGTTGCCTTCTATATATAATGAGATCATCATGAAACTAATCAGATTTGGCTGCACGCTGACATCATTGAAGGCAAAAAAAGCTCATAGGCAATGCCCTCACTTTGTTTGCCCTCAGTGATGTCACCATGTATTCAAAAATGGGATTGACTTCATGACAGCTTCACTGTTTCTAGAAAGCAGAAGGCTGGTGTATACAGAGAAGATGGAGGTACAGTCACAAATCTCTGCTATCTTGTCCACTTTGATCCTGGTTATCCTTTATAAAACTTTGGAAGCACAGGGTGTGAACACTGCCTGCGACTTGAAATTGGGATGGGTAGAGGAACGTGCCTAGATGAGTCCAGGTGTTCTTAGTAAGGATTGTTATAGTGGCCTAATAGCTTTTATTTTTAGGGTCATTATCATAGCTGTCAACTTTTCCCTTTTTTAAAGGGAATTCCCTTATTCCGAATAGGATTCCTCACAAGAAAAGGGAAAAGTTGACAGCTATGGTTATTGCCAGCAGAGTGAATGATATGTATAGCATAATCCAATCTGGAAACCTTAATCAAAGTTTCTTGTTTCAAAGAATAAACTATTTTATTTAGATAGCTGAAGCTTTCAATGACAGCCAATTAACATGGAAGAGAACTGTTCCATTAAGGAAGTCTTAACAAATTAACAGTACCCATGTTAGCATCACTTTTCATACCTTATGGTTGGGAAAAGTAGAAAAATACATTCATGCTGCTCAGTAGGGCAAAAAGACATAAAAACAGCTTTCTCTCTTTCTTTCTTGATGATTTAGCTGAGAATTTCTGGTACAAGAAAAACTGTAATGAGTTTCTGATAGCATCTCAGCATAATTTGTGGGATACACCAAGAGAAATATGCTAGCTTGAATGGTCTCATGTGAAACGCTAATTGTACAAATAACATTATAAAGGAAGGTCATGCTGTAATTGAGCTCATCATAACAGGTCAACAATCCATGTGAGTAAGAGGGACTTTTTGTTTGTTTGTTCTAATAAGCATCTAAATAGCATATGCATTTTGTTAAAAAATAATACAAAGAAGCCACTACTATCAGACCTAGGATAATATGATGTCCTGTTGTAATGAAAATCTTAAATTGCATTAATCTCCTATGTATCTTGCTTATAGCCATCGATTCTTTAGGTATGTCCAAATTATTAATTGCATTTTTTATCATAGCTTTTCATAGTTCTCTCTCCACATATTTTCCCCGAAACAACCTTCTGTGGTGGGTCAGGCCAAGAGAGAATGACTAGGTTTAGCCAATAGATTTGCGGCTGGAGTTGGGATTTGAACTTGGGTCTTCTAATCCTAGCCCAAGTGCTACACCACATTGCCTCTCTAATAAATAGCTATCTCACCCAGGTTTCTGCTTGGATGGTGTTATGTACTGAGTTGAATAGGATCCAGAATGCAGCAGTCTGATTGGTCCACAGGAGCCACCCAATCCAGCTCCAGGTGGAAGTGAATCCGCAACCTGATTGGCCCATAGGAGAATCCCGGAATTAGGCAATCACGTGGGGCCCATTGTGTAAATAATGTATATAAAGCAGACATTCTGGGGGAACTTCCACTCCTCCTCACCACTATGAGCTGAATAAAGAGCATGAAATCCACTCTCTACTCCGAGTATATTTCAGATACTTTAGGAAACAACTTAGGCCCCATCTGCACTATACAGTTAAAGCAGCATCTTGCCACATACAAGCCATTGCTTTACCCAAAGGATTCTGGGAACTGTAGTTGGTTAAGGGTGCTGAGAGTTGTCAGGACGCTTGTGCTCTCCTCACAGAGCTGCAACCAGAGTGATTTACTAGTCAGTCCCACTTCCCAGGGAGCCCTTGGAATTGCAGCTTTGTGAGGGGAATAGGTTTCCTAATAACACTCAGCACACTTAACAAACTACAGTTCCCAGAACTCTTTGGGGGAAGCTATAATTAAGTGGTATAATAGAGCCTTAAGTGTATAGTGCAGATGAGGCCTAAGAGTGTAGAGTCTATTCTGGGGCAAAGCATGTCACCCATGGAATGTCACCAAAGCTTACAATTGGAAGCCAAATGTGCAGAGTTGCACAGGCTCCATTGCTCCTGGAAGTTCTTCTAGCAGCATGGATTAGCAAGAGGGCCATAACCAGCTGGGGTGGGAGAAGCATGCTTATGTGGATTGTAGGAATACAGGAAGCTGCATTACACAAAGTCAAACTGTTTGTCCATGTAGTTCAGTATTGTCTATTCTGACCAGCAGTGGCTGTCCAGAGATTCCGGCTGAGATCTTCCTCAGTACTGATTCTCTGTTCCTTTTAACAGGAGATGCCAGGGTTTGAACCTGGGACCTTCTGCATATAAAGCATGTACTTTACTACCGAGCTGTGGGACTCCCTGCAATGAGATGCGCTGCGTCAGATGTGCAGAAGCTATTGATGAAAATCTGTGTGGGCGTATCTTTTCTCTTTCCTTCTGCTTTTACATCTCCAACTCACAGCAGTTGAGTCACAACTGTTCTGCTGTGCATGAGAATGGTTATTACTTCACATTGTGACCAAAAATAAAAATAAAGCATTATCCTTGTTTGGGCTGATGCTGAGCTCTCTTCAAAGCACAGGTTAATAGTGAGTCATTAGCCAGCCAGATGATTTTTGCAAAACTCTTGTACTTGACCAGAGGGGGCTAAGAAATTCCCAATGAATTTCCCCCCGCCATGTTAATTAAAACCTCTTTTCACAGGGAGAAAAAAGTTTAGTATTCTTTTTAAAAGTCTCTTCTACCCTCCCCCCAACCCAACAGAATGCTTTCAGAAGAAATTGGGTAACTGGGTAATATTCTGAATTCTTATATTTAGACATATTCTTTTGAACCACATGTCAAGTGCACTCAAGTAGCCTACTTAGACCAAAACAAATAACTGCAGATGTCTAGCTTCCCTGAGAAATATCACAAGATAGAGTCTGTTTCTTAAAAAATAAAATAAATGTTTTTATTTCAGTTTTTATAGCAACATTAAATAACAGTACAAAACACAGCTATACAATGCAGGACAGTCATACAGCTCATATCAGTATAAATTATACATTTCATTGGTCCAGTCATTTAGGGAGCACAAATAATGCAAGAATTCATATGCAGCGTCCCTCAGCGGATTGAAATCCATTTCCCAGCATGCTACTTTGTGCTCACCCTAGTTTTGAGAGTGCCTTTGGGTTTCTTTAATTCATGCAGTTCTATGATTTTCCTCTTGTAGTCTCCACCCATTTAAATATATCAGCTGTAGAAAATGTCTGCAGCTTGTCCTCCAGCCTGCTTTTCTGTTTCTTTTTAAACATCTCCCTGCCTCCTGCCATCCCTGTTGTTGTCGATCTGTATTGGTGATTTCATTTTGCACAGCATGTCTTCTGGAATGAGATGCGCATTAGAAGCCCAAGTTTAAGATGGATAATTTCCAGCCTGCCTGGAGAATTTGGCTGCTCAGATGAAATGAACACCCAAACCTCTTTTGGTAGCTCTGGGAATACCATCAGAGTATCTATAATTCCTCTCCCCATCCCCCCAGGAAAAAGGGGTTTCCTGGGGTTACTCATCCTCAGGGACTTAAACAAAGTGTTTGTTTGCTTGCTTGCTTGCTTGCTTGCTTGCTTGCATGCATGAATCTATGAAGGTTTGGGTGGGAAATAACAGATAAAGCACCCACAGAAAATGTCCTGTCAAAAATCCAATTAAACAGCTAACATGTAGCAGATGCTAAAATGTTCCAATTCCTTGCCCGTTAACTATAACTAAAACCAAGGGAGATCTATAATGCCTATTGCATAAGGTTTCTATAGTTGTAAACTATTCATAAGCCTATCTTGGCATTCGGTGGCTTATAAATTGATTTTTTTAAAAAGGTGTTGAAGCATAGGCCTGGCATGTCTTCAAGGGTAGGGATTGGCTATGGGGCAGCTGCTGAGAGCACTTGTTGATGCTTTGCAGTCATTAGGTGGGATTCCCCTAACCAGCCCTGTCAGCAGAAGCCCTGTGCAAGGACTGTCATATGCAAAATGGGACTTTCCCATTGGAGAGGGCAGTGGCTTGTTGAAACTGGGGCATAGGGCATTTGCTACAGTTGAATTCATGAAGAAGAGTGGGGGCTATGTTTTTCTGTTCACTTCCTTTATCAAAGGGACGCGGGTGGCGCTGTGGTCTAAACCACTGAGCCTAGGGCTTGCTGATCAGAAGGTTGGCGGTTCGAATCCCCACGACGGGGTGAGCTCCCGTTGCTCGGTCCCAGCTCCTGCCAACCTCGCAGTTCGAAAGCACATCAAAGTGCAAGCAGATAAATAGGTTTTATCTGGCGGAAAGGTAAACGGCGTTTCCGTGTGCTGCTGTGGTTTCACCAGAAGTGGCGTAGTCATGCTGGCCACATGACCCGGAAAAACCGTCTGCGGACAATCGTTGGCTCCTCAGCCAGTAAAGCAAGATGAGCACCACAACCCCAGAGTTGTTTGCGACTGGACTTAACTGTCAGGGGTCCTTTACCTTTACCTTTACTTTCCACAAGGGCTTTGATGAAACAGGATGAGAGTTTGTGTGACTTATAGCTGGATCCTCTCAATGGCTCCATTTGCACATAACACTTGTTAAGATCTGCTTGGATGTGAAAATCTTCCTGTTTAGAAGTGTCTCCCTCCTTTAAGACGTCTGGTCTTATGCTCTCACTACCATTCCTATTGTATCTGCTTGTTGTCCTATATTAACTCCGCTTGCTTATTTCCTTAAATCTGATGTGTGCTGTTTTTATTTTATTTATTTTAAAATCTTAATCTGTTGTTGCTGTTGGTTGCTTTGGGT